CCCTACATAGATCTTCGACAAAATTTGGGTAGCGTTATATATGAGCTTACAGTTTTATCGGTGGCCATCCAAAAGAAATGAATAGTTATTATGAGTTTTAGTTATTCTTAAATAAATGAATAGATAATCAACATAGTAACCAACGATAACTTGATAACAATTCCACCTGAAGTTAGAAATGTTGGTTGTTTGTATGGTCTCTCATGTAATTAACTAAACCTGTTTGAAGATAACTAGACTGCTATGGTGATGGGTGAGAAAGAGAGTAACTTGTTGTTAAGCTACGATATCACAACAGTATGAAAAATGGGGAGAAACTAGTTTTTTTGTTTTTGTGAAAAACAGAGCGTAGAGGGGTGCTCTAACCCTTAATCAATTACTAAACGGAGAGTCTGAACTCCAACGATATCATGATACAGCCAATAGTTCATCATCGGGCTCGGGTTGTCAAACACATGCAACCCTATGGGTAGGGAATGGCCGAGACCAGCCATATAATCAGCAACGAAATTACTCTCCCGGTAAACATGCTTGATACGCACCTCCTACTCCAGCTCAAGTAACCTGTGCACAGTGGTGATCATTGTGCGATGCGGGTGGTGCTCAGTGTCACTTCGTAGCAGCTGCACCGCCGTCATAGAATCCATTTGCATCTCTACCTTCCGGGCTCTTCTCTCACAGGCAATCCTCAAACCATAAACGACGCCCGGCAGCTCCGCGTGTATAATTGAGCAGCCACCCAAGTTCTCCGAGAAGGCCGAGATGAAGCTCCCATCATTTCTTCTCATCACTCCCCCCGCTGTTTTGCTGCCTTACCCAATTATCACCGCTCCATCCGTATTAACACACACCCAATCGTTCTCGAGTCCTTGCTAGCTCATCAAAGCCAGGCTTCGTAAACAACTTCCCCCCGTCACCCGCACCGAGTTCGCGGTGGCCTTCGACACTTGAGTCCGCCAGCTATGGATTAGGCAGGAAAATTGTGCAGCAGACTCCAGCTCTTTGTAAAAAACCCACTGGTTTCTATTTTTCTACAACTGCCAAACAAGCACAGCGAAAAGGGTGGGATTAACAATGGAACGGCGGTTAGAAATATAATGCATCACCCACTTGTGTATGTTCTCTTCATAGAATGTTTCATCGGGCTCCCCCCTCAAAAATTCAGACCAAGCCATCCTCGCATACGGTCAATCTCGCAAGACGTGGACCATCGTCTCAGAAGCACCACCACAAATCGGGCAGAGACTCTCTAGCGTGAGGTGGCGGCGACACCGTTCGTGTTTAGTTAACAGCCTGTTATGAAGAACTAGACACCTGAAAGATCTCGTGCGCTGTGGTCCTGGCATACTCCAAATTTCCCTCCAAACTGGGTTCTGAGCCCCATCGCCGCCCGCGTTTGTGAGCATTTCCCAAGCTGTTTTCACCGTTAATTTCCCTGACTGCAAGAACCTCCACAACGGGACATCAGGTTTGGTTTCATGCGGCACCAGGTGGAGGAGTAGTTGATCCGCTATATCCTCGGGCAGGAAAATCCTGATAAAGTCCATGTTCCATGCTTCGTTCAAAACCATTTCCGCAGCCTTCAAGTTCCTTACCTCGACCGGGAGATCATGAGTGAATTCCACCAACGGTGGTCCATCCTGAAGCCAACGATCAGTCGAGAAGCAAGTTTGCATACCACTTCTAATACTCCACATAGTCCCTTCTGGTAACCAATGAAGGACTCGTAATACTCCCCGCCACATATTAGACAATCTGCCTTGCCTCCTCGGTTGCCACCCGTCAGCTGTTTGCTTAAGATACTTCCCTCTTATAACACGAGCCCATAAACTGTCTTGCTCAGAAAGGAGTCTCAAAGCAATCTTTAGCATAAACGCCTCATTCATACCTGTTGCAGTTCACAATCCCAGACCGCCTGCTTCCTTGGCCTGCACACAGTATCCCAATCAATCAAGTGGATCTTCCTGCCCTATTCTGAGCTTCCCAGAGGAATCCCCTGATCTTCTTGTTGATATACTCCCTGACTGTGGCCGGTAATAATGTTGTTTGCATAGTGTAGGCCGGCAATGATGACAGTACAGACTGCACTAGAGTGATCCGCCCAGTAAGAGATAATGACTTCACCTTCCAGCCAGCCAATCGCGTATCAATTAGATCTGTGAATGTTGCCTTCGAGACACGATCATGAATCACGGGCACCCCCAAATACCGTCCCAGATTACTGGTAACCGGGATATCTAGTGCACTACTGATAGCTGCACTATCCGAAGTACTCACATTATTTGAAAGGAAGATCCTCGATTTGGGTCGACTGACCTGTTGCCCAGAGGCCGCACCAAATTCCTCCAAACACCCAGAGATTACCTGCGCTTGCGCCAGAGAGGCCACTGCAAATAGTATCAAGTCGTCAACAAAGAATGAATGCGAAAAAGGTAATTATGAATAAAGAGATCAAGGAAGGTAATTATTAATGAATTATTATAGGAACTCCTCCGACATTGCAAACAACTTCTGTATTAGGAATGAAGCCAAAATGGGCGCCATGTGATGATCAAAGCAAAGGAAAACGAAAGACACCACCACCCACCATAGAAGAAGAAGAAGAAAAGAGAGATATACATATGGTCCCCCATTCTGCCTGGCTGTCTGGTGTCTTACCCACCCATCACATGCAAATGCAACCCTTAATCCCATTATTTAATTCACTAAACCAACATAATTAAATTAATAACAACCTACTTTACTTACTCAACCGCCCTTTCCTTTAACTAGCAAGGCAATTGAAATATTGTGATTGTTTTTTGTGGGGTTTTGAGTTCAAAGATGAGCTCTGGGGTTTCGCGGTTTCGGAAGGTGTCAGTTTGGATGTGGAAATTTGAAAATCGTGGAAATTTGTCTGAATTTCAAGGTTTTACAAAATCAAGGAATTGACTTGTGGAAATTGAACAAAATTTCACGTTTGGATAGAGTTTAGTTTTGTGAGAATTGATGGTGTGGAATTTGGTAAAAGTACAAAAATGCCCTCCTTTATTTATATACATATACCCCTCCTAAAGGTTGTTGTATTATACTAACTACTAATTGTTGCTAACTTAAGCATAGTTAGAAAAATATGATATTGAAAAGTTACGTATAAAATACGTATGATTATTTTACTTCATCTCTAAGCTAATATTACATTTAATAGTACATTAAAAGCCATAAATATATAAACTTAATTATTTTAATAATAAGTACATATATAAATTACAATAAAGTTAACTATTTAATTCATTAAATACGGATATTAAAAGTGTTTAGGCGAATTCGATGAGGAGAAGTAGGAAAATCGACGGTGAATGAGATAATTAAGCGAATCCAAAATTAAGAAATTGACGACGAATTATAGGAGATATACGAAGGTGAGGGGAGATGAAGAAGAAGAGGTACCATTGATGAATGAAAAAGAAGGGGCTACTCTTTTCAGAAATAGTTAGGCGAAAACGGAGAAGGAGTAAGAAAGAAAGGAGGTCCCAGGTTCGAATCCCTCAAGTAGTACCTTAATTACAAAATGAAACCTATATCACCCTTATAAAAAAAAATGAAAAAAAGGAGAGGAAGGACATAGGGACACATTTGGAAATAGAAGGAAGAAAATGTGGTAATGTCAAATTACTAGGGGGAGATGTAGTATTCTCAATTACAATGAATGTGGTAATTGAAGCCAATTTCCACGGTCCAATTCCCATACCTTTTTTGCGCTGCCAAACGTGAGTTTTTAACCCAATTTCTACATTATATGGTTATTGGATCCAATTACTGCATTAAATTTCTACGTCCAAACGACCCCTAACCAGATTCACTTTCGTACGCAAGAAAGCAAAGGAAAGTAGAAAAGCCACAATAATCAAAGGACGAACGAGACCCAACGCAACACGTTTTCCTAGGCCGAGTAGTAAAGTCGGGTCGTTAATTACGCCGTACCTTTGAGAGCAAAAGAGTGGCGGTCGTTCGGGTTGCCCCTGGAACAAGGCACATATGGCCCCTCGTAGGTCACAAGAGACGTACGTACGTAGGGTCACAAAAAAAAAATCCATGCAATGCAAGCTTGCAGCGGGGGAGTCCGGCGTCGTTCATCGACGGAATGGGATTATTTCGTGTAACGAATTTGACTTAGAGAGAATTATGTTAAAGATTAGGCCTAGGGAGTGGTTGGTAATTGTTAATAGATATAAATACTGAGTATATTGTATTGTATTGGGCATCGAATACAATTGAGAAAGTTTCCACAAATTCTATCTCTCTATTACTTCTTCCTTTCCTCTCCTTCTTCCATTGGTTGCGTCTGCAACTTCTCTTCTTCTGCACTTCATTCTCTATGTTCTTCTTCTCTTTCTTATCAGCGGCGTATCTAGAGCTGGGCCAACTCGGAACACGACCCAGCCCTCCTCCGGATCTAGAACTACTATAGTGCTTATAAATTTTTCGATTTTAGATATTCGATCGAGTGCTATTTAAAAGTCGGTTTAGTGTTATTTGATAATATCAGGGACGGAGCTAGCTCATGGCTAGGGGCCATGGCCCCCTTAGGATTGTAGAAATAAGCTGAATATAGCCTATATAAACGAAATCATTTGTAGTGCAATTGGTAAAGTGTAGTCTCTGTGATGGTTAGATTCGTGAGCCCAATTCACGGGAAACTCATTTGTTTTGTAGTTATGTTCGTTATTCCTTTTCTCGGTTGCAATTTATTAGGTAGATGTTGTTGGGATGAATAGCTTTGAAAAGATATAAATGAAATTCCTAATTAATTATCCAGTATTTTCTCCATAATACGAAAATAAGATGGATAATTAATAAAAGAAATATTATGGAGATAATTAGAAATAATTATCTTAGTAAATTATATTTTAATTATGGGAGTAATTATCTCCCTAATTAAAATGTGACTTATTCCCAAAGAAAGAGGGAATATTCTGGGTTTTCTGCTCCTATAAATAGGAGACGCCCCAGACCCTCTAAACACATCTCGGAGAGCAGAAACACGAGATAGAGAGTGAGTTCATAGAGCTCCGGTTTTCGCACAAAACCGATGAGCAACAAAATTAGAGTGGCTGTTTTATCCTGAAGGCGACCGGCTGATAGTCTGTCGTGCGCAACGAAGGCAGTGCCGCGAAGGTCTTAAAGAGAGCGACCTAGTCCGAGACTCAGCCAGATCGGTAACCCTATTTTTCTGTTCGGTTTATAACAATTTTAAGACGTTGGTTGCTGTCATATGTACCAAACAGAATGCCGATACTGGCTCGATCAATTACTATCGTCGTTCGCTTGAAAAAGGGGCCTATTGCACTAGGTCCGCAGCGGCTCGCACTTGTGTTTCTATTCCCATATCGATCGCGATATGAGCTCTTTTGTGTGAGAATCGGGGTTTAAATTGCTTGCTTGTAGAAAGAGATAGAAGTTGCAGCCGAGTTGGAACATGAATTCGGAGGCCATGACAAGCATGTGGAAGAGGTGGTACGGTGCAAGAAATTGATGGGTTCAATTCAATAACCATCAATTTAATTAAAATCTCCGAGGAAGTTTGGTGAAAGAGGTGTCCGAATGGTGGACTGGTAATCATCAGCTCGCCGAAGGGAAATTGATGAAGATGGTAGTAAAAATAATAACGATGGGAAGAGAAGCAGATCGAGTTGGAGAGGCTTCGCACACTCCAGAATCCCGATCGAGACTAAGCCTAGCCGGGAACTCGAAGCAACAAGAAACGTGTTTGACCGGGACAGAAAAGAGAGGGTCTCGTGATCATGTGCATGCTTGTTCTTGGATCGGAGTCGATTCCAGGTGCTTGTGGCCAATCGCAATTTGCCTCAGTGAGAAGAACATGGAAGACGCTATTAGTTTAGCGAGGATGGTGGTTGGATTGGTTCAGGAAACTCGAAGGGCGCCGCTGAAAGAGATGTCATATCATTTGGAGAACCCTACAAAGGTTCACTATGGCTGGAGGCTGGAACCATGCGTGCGATGGAGAGTGATTTGGTCCCGCAAGCTTATTCGATCATTGGGCCTCTCAATTTCGTCCATGCCAAAATAATAGAGGAGGGCCCGTCTAATTGAACTGCCAATGCCCAACTCTTCAGCGAAAAAGGCAGAAAGGAAACTTGATTTGAGTCATGCTAGCGATTCTGTCTCATGGTTTCTCTACTTAGTTTATTGTTATTGTGTGAAATCACAATGTAAATTGATCTTCCTTTTCTTTTTTGGGAGGTAATGAAGTCAAGGAAAAGGATGGAAGATATCCGCCCTGGTAAAGTTGACCTAGGATGGTGGACCCAAGACCCAAGTCATGGGTGAAACAGTATACTAAAATGTTGAAAATGGCACCTTCTATTGCTCCGGTTAGTGGCAGCTTTGAAAGAAGAATTGCTAGGAAATTGAGCAACAAGGAAGCCATGCTTAGTGCCTATGCTGCGAATTCAGAAGACAACGTCTTCACGAAAAAGGTAAGATTTTAATCTTACTTGTGAGTCATTTATGAATGACAAAATTATGATCTATTTAATAGAATTTTGAGCATACTATTGAGAAACCTAATGAATGCTCAAAGAAAGACAAAATTATAATTTATTCTATGTAGATTCATGTATGAAATTGAGAAATTTTGTGAATGCTAATAAACAAACTAGAATTCACGCATGAATATATTGATATTGAGATGTGTTTTTCTCAATAATTAGAGTACAATTTTGTGTACATGCTATAAAGTAGAGTAATATGAATGCATACTCTGAAGCATATATGGATGTATATTCGGTAGTGAATATGCTAGTGGAATGGGTTATATGTCCATATTTATTAGAAGTATTGTTTGTCAGTACTATGAGAACCATTTGTACGTTTTCAAACCCTAATAAGGTTCAAGAATCAACATAGCAAACCGAATCAGATTCACACCAATTAAAATGGTACCATTCGTGGTAACTAAAGGATCATCAGCCAATCCTCTAAGAATGACGCTTTATTTCTCTGCAATAGTTGCGAGAAATTAGGTCATATGACAAGAAAGTGTAGGAACAAGTATAACACTGGTTCTAGTGTTAACTTGATTGAAGAGAAGAATTGGTAGCTGTGATGATTGACAAAAGAGCAGAGATTAACCATGCTGGTAACTCTGCAGAATAGTGGTATCTCGAAGCATACTAAGACATATGCTATTAAGAAAGTGTTGTTGAGTATTGCTCACTCCACTATTGGTCATGATCATGAGAGTATGCATATGATAATAAAGTTAAAGTGTTTAATTCTTATGGGTCTTGCATGCTCGTCTTTGACGTATATCTTGAGGAATTGAATAGCTACGGTCACATTCTCATAATGGTTGTGATAAATGTGATTTCCATAGCTAAGATAAATGACACATAAATATGCGTTTAGAGAATTAGAAACTTTGAATCTGATTAAATTTTATGTGTAAACATGATGAGATGCTTACTTAAACTAGCTTGAAATGCTTTATCGCATTATTATTGATTGCCCTGATTATTGTTGGTTGGTGTTAGAATTAGAGAATCAGTGCAATATAATTATGAGTAAGCATATGATTGTGTTTATTGGATATGCTATAGGAAAAACACATATGCCTCATAACTTGAGTGCTCATTATGTTTTTGAATTCATTGATGCCAATGGACTTCCATTTAAAATCAATAAATAGTGGGGGTTGTATCCTACCTACTATTAGAAATAATGGAACTAGTGGGGGTGGTGAATCTGAGTATGAACTCAGAAGAAGCAAACGAACCATAAATCGATAAAGGATTTTGGTTATGAGTTTGTTATTTACACCCTAAGAAAGATCCTACAAGTCTGCTAGAAGTTCAAACTTCTGTAAGGTGCAGATTTGTGGGAGAATCCATTATTAACGAAATGCAATTATTGGAGTCTAATAGACTAGAATCTTGTAGAGTTACGTCTTGACTGTAAAGCCTTGGGTAATATATCGATGGAATCGAACAAGATTTGGTATCTATGAGAATTACCTCTTGGCAATGAAGTCATGGGTAATAAATGGATTCTTAAAAAGAAAAACTAAAACCTAATGGTTTAGTTTATGAGTATAATGATCGCCTAGTAGTTAAGACTCTAGGCGGGGGGAAAAATGTAGATTTTCTTGATATCTATTCACCAAATCTAAAATAACATCCATGTATGGTCTGATTGCTAGTGGTGCATTAGATGGAAGTTAAAATTGCATTTTGTGAACGGTGATTTAGATAAAGAAATCGAAATTGGGACAACCTAAAAGGTTGTTATTATTGAACATGCTTTTAAAGTCTATGGTGAGACAAATCATGGTATGATTTGAAACGGACTTTAAAGATCATGGCATGGATGGATGGTTATCTCTCATGGTTTTGAATGAAAGTGGCAAGTGCATTTGTTACTAACTTGAGAACGACACTTGCACTATAAAAGACATGTTGATCTTTGTTTCAAAGACTCATGACATGAATAAATGTGAAAAACCATGTTGAGTGAGAACCAAATTACTAGGACAGTGAAAGAAATTTTTTATAGATCAATCTAACTGTCTGGTTAAGATCTATAAGAAATACAAGTTGTACACTTGCCTAAATGTTTGAAGATGCTAGTACAATTTTTTTAAAAGAGCACCAGAGACGGTGTAAGAAAGTAAGAACATACTAGCATCGATAGTCTGCGAGAGGCAGCTGATAAACATGAGACCCGACATAGTGGGATACTTGGCAGGTTTACTGATTGTCCTAGTATGAAGCATTGAAATGCTATTGAAAGGGGTCATGAGATGCCTTAAGAGAACAGTAGACCTTGATATATGTTATCAACGGTTTCTTGCTGTATTAGTAGGGTATATTGATGCGGATAAGAATACCCTATAGAGGCTCCAAGATAACCAGAAGCTATGTTTTAAACATCGATAGAGAAGTTCTGTCTTGGAAGTCTAAGAAAAATAAGTAAACGATCTTGACTCAATCAACTATAGAATCAGATATGATAGAACTAGCAATGGCTAGTAAAGAAGAAAGTTGATTGAGAGGCTCATTACTAGAGATTCCCTTATAGGAAAGACCGTATCCGCTGGTATTGATCCATTGAGATAACAATTGCTAAATAGAACCGTAACAAATGGTAAGAGGCGACAAGTTCGTCATGAGAACAGTACCGGAAGAGAGAGTCCCTAACTGTTGGAGCAGTAAGGGTGGATCACTTAAAAGAGAATCTAGTTTATTCTTTGACGAAAGGATGAACTTGAGATTATAAAAGAATCTAGTTGGTCCTTTGACGAAAGGACTAGCTAGAGAGAAAGTCCAAAATACCACGATGGGTATGAGACTTATGCCTACCGAACCATGGATTACAAGTGATGGTAACCCGAACCGATAGACTGGAGATCCCAAGAAACGGGTTCAATGGGTAATAACAAGTCATGAGTAATATTGATAAAAGTTCATGCATAGTGAAGCATGAATCCCAAAGCCTTGGAGGTTGAGTTAAACTCTTAATGAGATCTATACTCTATGTGGAGTGAAGTACTTTACTTTGGGGGTACTTCTGATAGACTCACCTATGTGAATGTGGGAATGGGGCCGCTCCCTATGGAACTTTGGAGGCACAAAGTTGCTAGAGCGTTCACTAAACCGGGATAATGTGCATGGCCATAAACGCACGGCCTATGAGAGAATATCACTCAATGAAAAGATCTGGTGTGCTACATTGTCTGAGATAGGGTTCAAGACTACGAGTCACCCTTATGAAATCGGAAGTGTAACCACTACGCTAAGGTTCAAATCTTCGCGATACCTTAGCTTATCCCCGATCTTATGGAACTGTTAATGCTCAGAGATAGTTTCAAAACTATTCAAGAGGGGGATTGTTGGGATGAATAGCTTTGAAAAGCTATAAATGAAATTCCTAATTAATTATCCAGTATTTTCCCCATAATACGAAAATAAGATGGATAATTAATAAAAGGAATATTATGGAGATAATTAGAAATAATTATCTTAGTAGATAATATTTTAATTATGGGAGTAATTATCTCCCTAATTAAAATGTGACTTATTCCCAAAGAAAGAGGGAATATTCTGGGTTTTCTGCTCCTATAAATAGGAGACGCCCCAGACCCTCTAAACACATCTCGGAGAGCAGAAACACGAGATAGAGAGTGAGTTCATAGAGCTCCAGTTTTCGCACAAAACCGATGAGCAACAAAATTAGAGTGGCTGTTTTATCATGGAGGCGACCGGCTGATAGTCTGCCGTGCGCAACAAAGGCAGTGCCGCGAACGTCTTAAAGAGAGCGACCTAGTCCGCGACTTAGCCAGATCGGTAACCCTATTTTTCTGTTCGGTTTATAACAGATGTTCAATCCATTGTATTATAGTTATGTTCGTTTTTCCTTTCTTGGTTGCAATTTGTTCAATCCATTGTTGTCTCAACAAATAATCGGGTTGTGTTTTCATTTGTAATTTGTTATGTTTTGTCTTTGTGTCTCCTTTTTCTTTATTGTCTTATTAAATTACATAATTACTAGGTAGTGATGCCGCGTCTTGTCGCGGGCGGAGATGGCCTATTTGCATGTATTATGTGGCCCGTTATGATATTTTATTAGTATTATTAGGCTAAAATTAATTTTTTGTTAGCAGTTTGTTAGTAATATTGACTTGACAATATGATATTGACTAAGAATACATATATGGCGGTCAACATCCAATTTAAAGATTTTTGAAAATTTTGGCTAGTAAATGATATTTACCAAAACCCAAGTAGACCCATTGATTATTATGGGTAGAGTATGTGTAACGTATATATGGGTTTGAAAGTTTGTAGATGGGTTTGGGTAGGGTATGTATATTTACTTGCATTATCTAATTTTGTATGAGTTGGGTATGGATACCCATTTATTCGAGGGTGTTTTAATTGCACATACAAATATAAAACCTTAGAACTTCAAAAGTTTAGGTACCAAAATGTAATACACAAAAATTTTAGGTACTAAAATGTATTGTTTAATCAATATTTTGAGGACTTATATGTCACACAAATAAATTTAGGTTATAAATCTAAAGATATATTAAGATTAGGTACGAAACTATAATTTGCATAGTTGAGACTTAATTCCTTTTATGGTGATGTATTTAAGATCATAATTATTTACCTTTTTGGTAGAAAAATGGAAAATATTTATTTGATACTTAGCCAAACATTCCATGTATAATTGTTGAAAATTCTAGGCCGGGTGAAAAAGAAAAACTCTAGAGAGAAGCAAAAGGAATACAAACTGGAACTCGCTTAAATTTCACGCCCTCAAATCCCAAAGTGTAAAATGACGATTTTCTAATAAGTAATAACCATATATATTTATTTTTAATTGGACTCGACATTGAGCTGAAAAAGTTAGTGGTTCATGGTTCAATTGTTAGTTCTCTAGCCTGTTGGTGAGTCGTGTATGGACCCGTTCATACTTGTGATTAGAATACATAAAAATAGTATACTAATTAGGATTAGACAAAGAAGGCAAATAAAGAAATCGTTATGGTCTATGGAAGGCTAGTGAAAAATGATACGAAGAGGAAATAGATGATGGAAAGGTTTTGACCAATTCTTTTAGTTGACCATCAATACAACAATCAACCCTTTTCATCGTAGAAATTTATTGACACTTGTTTTTGAAGATGTCACATATTTTGTTACATGTAGTTAATAAAAGTTTGTTTAGTACCCGTAAATGTATTAAATGAGTTTATAAATTCGCTCTTGTTATATTCTAGAGTCGTCTCTCTTTTATCATTTATTTAATGTTTCACGTAATGAGTAAATATAAAATGGTCGAATCTTCTTCTAAATTTGAGTTATACAATATCTTGTATTGTACAAACTAAATTTATACTTTTATGTTATGGTGGATTGGATTCATGGATTGTTTCAAAAGGATTTGTGTTGGGTATGGATTAATATGCCTACACGACTATAAACGGGCCCAAGCCCACCGCAAGGTGTCCTGGGCCCAAGCCCACTCAAGGAAGCCCAAACCCTATATAAGGAGGCCTAACCCTCCAAACTAGAAGATCTTCTTCTTCCCTTCCTCACTCTTACCCTAAGGCCTCTCTCTCTCTCTACATACCATAAACCGCATATTATATCGTACTAACTTGGGCGTCGGAGCGTAGATCCCGGGGGCCGCCCCCCGCCTCACAGGTTCTTCCCCTCTCGAGGAAATCAGACGAAGGAGTCCAGATCAGAGCCCCATAACCGCTTAGAACATTCTAGGCACAAACAATTTGTGGATTGGATTCATGGATTCAAAAGAAATCTAAACATTGAAGCAATATGTAAATTTTAAAAACTATAGGTATAAATATCTCATAAAATTTAGATACCAAAATATAAATTTTCAATTATTTTACATTAAAATTAAATTTGGGTTATCAAAATGTAAAATTTACATTATAATGACTAAGTTGTGATTTAATTAAATTTGGGGTATCAAATTGTAAATTATTAGGTAACACTAACCTCACTTCAGATTTATATTTTTTTTTTTCAATTATTTTACCTTAAAATATCTCAAATGTAAATTATAGTGACTAAGTTGTGATTTAATTAAATTTGGGGTATCAAATTATAAATTATGAGGTAACAGTAACCTAACTTCAGATTTGTATATATTAAATTTGATTTTCATTCTTATTTGGTAATGATAGTTACTTGCGTATAATATCATTTTTTGACAATTTGATAATAATACCATTCTAACTCATTTTGTTATCTTATCTTATTAAACGTAAATATCCATTTGAGACAAACATCAAGCAAATTTATGTATTTACAATTCAGATATGTTAATTATTGGCTCATAAAATAAGTAGTTTCCTTGAGTTTATCGACTAGTTATTTCTTTTCGCCTGTTTAGATGTTTTCTTTAGACAACAAGAATTTATTTGCAAAATTTTCCGAAATGTTTTCTTTTTTAGAATCACTTCATAATCACATTTATCATTTAGCTCTTACAATAAAAATTGAAAGATTGTTTGAAAAGTGAGTGACATGACGATTTACGTGGTTTACTTTAATTAAATTTGGGGTATCAAATTGTAAATTATTAGGTAACACTAACCTCACTTCAGATTTATATATATTTTTTTCAATTATTTTACCTTAAAATATGTCAAATATAAATTATAGTGACTAAGTTGTGATTTAATTAAATTTGGGGTATCAAATTGTAAATTATTAGGTAACAGTAACCTAACTTCATATTTACATATATTAATTTGATTTTCATTCTTATTTGCTAATGATAGTTACTTGCTCATAATATCATTGTTTGACAATTTGATAATAATACCATTCTAACTCATTTTGTTATCTTATCTTATCAAACGTAAACATCCATTTGAGACAAACATCAAGCAAATTTATGTATTTACAATTCAGATATGTTAATTATTGGCTCATAAAATAAGTAGTTTCCTTGAGTTTATCGACTAGTTATTTCTTTTCGCCTGTTTAGGTGTTTTCTTTAGACAACAAGAATTTATTTGCAAAATTTTCGAAATGTTTTCTTTTTTAGAATCACTTCATTATCACATTTATCATTTAGCTCTTACAATAAAAATCGAAAGATTGTTTGAAAAGTGAGTGACATGACGATTTACGTGGTTTACTTTAATTAAATTTGGGGTATCAAATTGTAAATTATTATGTAACACTAACCTCACTTCAGATTTATATTTTTTTTTTCAATTATTTTACCTTAAAATATGTCAAATATAAATTATAGTGACTAAGTTGTGATTTAATTAAATTTGGGGTATCAAATTGTAAATTATTAGGTAACAGTAACCTAACTTCATATTTATATATATTAATTTGATTTTCATTCTTATTTGGTAATGATAGTTACTTGCTCATAATATCATTATTTGACAATTTGATAATAATACCATTCTAACTCATTTCGTTATCTTATCTTATCAAACGTAAACATCCATTTGAGACAAACATCAAGCAAATTTATATATTTACAATTCAGATATGTTAATTATTGGCTCATAAAATAAGTAGTTCAAGCTAGCGTGCGCCAGGAGTACGCTATACTCTTGCATTCACACTACCATACGACTATTGGGTTTTACTATTTAGACCCCGAATTAACCAGAGTTTTTTTAGACATGATACTATACCCTAATATCTAATAGGTGAACTCCAGTCCCTAATTCTATAACCTCTAATTTATGCATATACTTCGTCATACCTATCTTCCATCGCATCTTGAGTAAAATCAAAAGTATAGTGTACCTTGACATTATATATATGTATAGTATCCCCCATCCCCGGGATAGAGATCCCGCTATTACCCCCATAACGCAAGACAACCATTGGGGTTGTCTATCGTCTGATATGTAATATATAAAGAGGCAAATCATAAGATCTTGCTATTTATTTCTTGTCATCTTCCGCCGCCCCCCTTTATGGAGAATAAAAGGGTAGGGATGAGATCATAGCTTGATATGGTTTTATTCTGTTCATCGTATCGGAGGTTATGTTCTATTTTGATTTTTTGGGCTTCTTTTCATTCTTCTTTGGCACCTATGGTTGTGATCAGCGGTTTTAGCCCCCAAGAAGATTGGGATTTTAGGTCCTTTGAAAATCCAATACACATTCATGATCCTCGAGTTTGGGCAAACTCTCGACCAATGTTGTAAATATTATGACTTTTTAGTGAGAATTTCATAGTAAAGATACTTTATTATTGGATTTTATTCATTCATATTGAAACTTGACACACACCGTAGCTCTCACGATGACTAAATTCTCTAATCTCAACTCATTTCCATTTTGGATGTTAATTTTTTTTTTATTATCAAGACACTTAAATTTAGTATATTATACAATATGTATCAATTGTTAATTCTTGAAGTTTAGACTAAAGCTCAACATGTGGTCATTTTTTATATGTTGGCTTAGAATCTCAATCTAAGACCCTCACACACACTATCGAGGATTTTAGACTTAACATGGTCGTTGAATATGTAATTTTCAAATATTTTATCACTTATATATTAATAATTGATAAAGATTGTCTACAATACACACATATTTAAAGTGCATTTAAAATATCTTATCATTTGAACAATGTCGGTGGATTTTATTTGATTATTTGTATTAACTTATTATCTTATACAACATATATCAATTCGTGTTTCTCGAGTTTGGACAAATTGACAACCAATTTTGAGAGTTGAGATTATTGGATAAAGATACTTGATTGTTGGATAAATATGTTTATCTCAATAGACTATCTTACTAAAAATGGTCAATCTTTATTTGGTAAATGCCTAGGTTAGTAGTTGATGAAACGTGATGTTTATCGTAAATTCTCAATAAAGGTTTATCTAACTTTCACATATGTTATTTTTCAAAGAATCTTGTGTCTCCTCCTAGGGTATAAAGTCAAAGTTCGTCAACAATAAGACTTAAGTCATTTTGAAAGTTTTAATTTATAATCGTCTACGATAACTCCAAGTCTAAAAGAAAATTTCTTAGCATATGACTTAGGATCTCAATAGAGCTTGCTCAATCAACATGATATAGAGCAAATATTATTAATTTGAACTTATGACACATTATAAAATTATTGCACACACGATTTGTCTTTATTTGAGAAGTTTAAGGTAGAACATGATCTGAATGAATAAGAAGTTTTTTTTAAATAAGTAATTGTAACTACTCGATCAAGATTATACTTTGACATTTTTTTAAATAATACTTGTTTTATTTATATACATATACTTTACGAATAAGAGAGTGTTTCATTGCAACAAAATATAAAGTAATATATTTTATCTTTTAAAGGTAATTGAATGTCAAATATTTATTTTCTCTCTTTTCATATATATTTTGTTTAATTGATAAAAACATTATTTTTTATGTGTATGTTTGTTTAATTTTTCCATCAAAATGTAGCTTATCATTCAATTTAGTAAAAATGAGTAAAAAATTTACTTCATAAGGTTTAATTAGATATTTTTATTTAAACAAATGTGATATATGTCACTTCTGTTTTTTTATATTTTGTTTAGTTGACAAAATAATTTACGTATGTTTGGTTAAGTTTATCAACGTGTAACTTATTATTAAAGAAAAATGGATAAATAAAAAAGAATAATTGGATAAAAGAAATGAAAATATTAAAGAAGAGAGAGGTAGCTCCATAAATATATTAATAACTAATTTTCTTTTTGTAAAAAGTTGTTCAACTTGGCAAATTGTGGATCTTCCAAGTGCTTATGTGACAAGAGATTGCTTTTGAATTGCCATAATATTATATATAGATTCAGATATGTTAAATATTGGCTCATAAAATAAGTAGTTTCCTTGAGTTTATCAACTGGTTATTCTTTTCGCCAGTTTAGGTGTTTTCTTTAGACAACAAGAATTTATTTGCAAAATTTTCCGAAATGTTTTCTTTTTTAGAATCACTTCATAATCACATTTATCATTTAGCTCTTACAATAAAAATCGAAAGATTGTTTGAAAAGTGAGTGACATGACGATTTACGTGGTTTACTTTAATTAAATTTGGGGTATCAAATTGTAAATTATTAGGTAACACTAACCTCACTTCAGATTTTTTTTTCAATTATTTCACCTTAAAATATGTCAAATGTAAATTATAGTGACTAAGTTGTGATTTAATTAAATTTGGGGTATCAAATTGTAAATTATTAGGTAACAGTAACCTAACTTCAGATTTATATATATTAATTTGATTTTCATTCTTATTTGGTAATGATAGTTACTTGCTCATAATATCATTGTTTGACAATTTGATAATAATACCATTCTAACTCATTTCGTTATCTTATCTTATCAAACGTAAACATCCATTTGAGACAAACATCAAGTGAATTTATATATTTACAATTCAGATATGTTAATTATTGGCTCATAAAATAAGTAGTTTCCTTGAGTTTATCGACTGGTTATTTCTTTTCGCCTGTTTAGATGTTTTCTTTAGACAACAAGAATTTATTTGCAAAATTTTCCGAAATGTTTTCTTTTTTTGAATTACTTCATAATCACATTTATCATTTAGTTCTTACAATAAAAATCGAAAGATTGTTTGAAAAGTTAGTGACATGACGATTTATGTGGTTTACTTAAAGTTGAGACTAGTCAATCAACATAAAATTCGATAAGTTTATCTCAACAATTATAGTCAATTCTATTGAAATCATAAATTATTTTTCACCATTCCATGCCAAACCTCTTAATTATCCTCCCCCGAGCATCCACATTGGTATTGCATTCTCAATTGCAAAATGACATGGCATAGGTGTTTGCAATTGCAAACCCAATTGCATTGATATGACTACCAATTGCATATTTGCAAGCTTGCAACAAATGCAATTCCATATGCAAGTCAAAAAAGCCTAAAAAATGGACATTTTATACTTTATATTATTTTCTTTTCTGTTTTACTTAATTTTCTATAATTTAAACATAATATCTAATTACATTTGCAATTGCAAGTTAATTGCATTGATGTAGGTGAATGAAATGAATGTGATGTGGATTGCAAAAAATTTGAGTTGACAATAAAAAACACAAATGCAATTTCTTTTGCAATTGCATGGATGGAGGTGCTCTATAATATTCCTGGCGCCGTCCCTGGATAATTTTTGTGTAACTAGGAAAATGGTCTAGATGAACATATCCATACCACTACTCTAAATTTAGCGTAGAAATTCTAGTCCGAATGATTTTCATTTGTAAAAAGGGTTAATAGTATTTTGTACTCCTATACTATCTTAAATTAACAAACATACCCCTCTACTAAAATTTTGCACAAATGTACCTTTCTAATATTAAAACGTAACAAGTTTACCTTTTCATCCAATTATCTGTTAAGTAATCGTTAAAGGGCCCGTGAAATGACTCAATTACCTCTCATTTACTCATAAATACTTCTAATTTTGCTTTTAATTATTTTATGTCCCAAATCAATAAATAAAAATCCCAATATAAAATAATTGTTGGGCAGTGGGTGGTCTCCCCATTGGTGGCGTTCAATCCTTCGCGGGTTAATTGCATGATTGGTCACTGAGATTATAAAAACCGTTCAAGTTTGGTCACTCGAAATATTTAAATCCATTGGTGGTACTTCAGTTTACTGAAACCGTTCACGTTTGGTCACTCTCCGTCCAACTCCGTTAACTTTTGCTTACGTGGCAGTCAACTCTAAAAGTTGACCGTTAAATGTGTGACGTGACAATTAAAAAATAATAAAATAAATAAAATTTAATTTCTTAAGTTTTCCACCTAATTTCCAACTATTAAAAGATAAAAATTTAATTTAATTTTTTATAATCTCACAAGCCTTAGTTGTCCATCCGTACATTTTCCCCCACCGGCGACTCTCGATCTCTCTTCTCGTCACCGCGTTCCCTAGCCGGTGAAGACTGAACAAGTCCCTCTGATACAGCTCTCTCTCTCTCCTCTCTGCTCGCAGTCGCCGTGCACTCTTTCTCCGGCAAGATCGCCGCCACTCTTCCAAATCTCTACCCATCGCCACTCACTCCTTTGCTCCTGAGATCACTCTGTCGCTCATTCCTTCGCTCCCGAGATCGCCACCAACGCTTTCAAATCCCTAGAGGTCGCCGCTCATTCCTTCGCCCGAGAAATCTCAGCGCCGCTCACTCATTTGCCCACGAGATAATTAAGGGTAAACGTAATGGACGGCGGCAAATCGGCAATCGAGGTTGTATGTGTGTCGTGACCGTCTCAATCGCGAGGGGAGCGAAAGTCGGAAGTCGGATTCATCTTCCCTTTGGTGGCCTCTGACCCTGCGTGGAAGAAAGGGCGGAGAGGCCGAAGCCGTTGAAGTAGATTGATGCGGCGGTGGCCGAGGCATTGTCGAGCGGGCTGTCGCAGAAGAAGCTGCGGTAGGTGCAGACATCGCAACCGACCCATGAGGCTTTGATGTTGAGTGGGTCTGAGGTTATTGTGTACTTGAATTTTTGGATTGCTGGGTATCAGCGAATGTGAGGAGGTTGGCTTTGAGGTAGCTGCCGGGGAAGGAGGTGGTGGTGAGGCAGTGATTGGAGAAGGTGAAATGACTTTTTTATTTTTTTTAATAGTTATAATTGAGGTGGAAAATAAAAAACAAGTGATCTTATAAATTTTTATTATTTTTTAATTGCCACGTCACACATTTAACGGTCAATTTTTAGAGTTGACTGCCACGTAAGCAAAAGTTAACGGAGTTGGACGGAGAGTGACCAAACATGAACGGTTTCAGTAAACTGAAGTACCACCAATGGATTTAAATATTTCGAGTGACCAAACTTGAACGTTTTTTATAATTTCAGTGACCAATCATGCAACATAACGAGTTTACCCTTTCATCCAATTATCTGTTAAGTAATCGTTAAAGGGCCCGTGAAATGACTCAATTACCCCTCATTTACTCATAAATACTTCTAATTTTGATTTTAATTATTGTATATCCCAAATCAATAAAAAAAACCCAATATAAAATAATTGTTGGGTAGTGGGGTGGTCTCCCCATTGGTGGCGTTCAATCCTTCGCCTAGAGAGAAACTGTAACCGTCGGCTCTGAGTCCCCCTCCTTCGTTTTCACTGACGCCGGAGGATTTCGCTGGCCGCCGACCTCCTGACTCCGAAATCCCGAGTTCGGAAACGCCCTTCTCCCTCCCTGTCAGTATCGCTAGCCGGCGTTCTGTCGCCGGCGATTTACTTCCATGTCTTTTTTCTCGAATAGAACCTCCAATCGAATGTCGATTTTCCTAGCCGTTGCCTTGGCCGCCTATTTCGACAGCCACCATATTAATATTAGTCATCGTTGCCTCGATCGCCTATGTTGAGCACCACCATCTTAGTCCCTGGTTTTGGCTTCCGCTAACAGATTTAATTAAAATGATGTCGACGGCGCCCCACAACTCATATGGAAGATTAGGTTGGTGAGATTGACGCCACACCCTTGTCTATATCTTCCAATCCCGTTAGCCTTTAGCTCTGCAATCAAACCTCACCAGGCCATCAACCAGCAATACAAGAGGAAGAAGAAACTTGCACAAGTATCAAAAAGAGGAAGAAACGACAGGAGATGTCGGGAGTAGACGCCACCGCATGGAATAATCTGTTAGACATATTGAACGAAATAAGAACGGAACAACAGATTTACGTGGTATCCTTGATGTATCAGGACTAGTCCACGGGTGAGGAGAGCTTGAAGACTCTCCCGCTACTGATCTTATTATCTTACCGTAGCTTCACCATACATTGTACATATATATATCTCGGTACAGAGGGAGAAGGCAAAGGTGAAGTTAATGTAACCTAACCCTAGCCCTAGCCTACGCACGTCGGCCCTTACACGCATGGGATGCATGGGCTTAAGGCCCACAATATATATATATATATATATATATATATATATATATATGTACGAGGCCCTCATGGGCTCTAACAGGCTCCCCCAAATTGATGCTGGTTCCGAAGCATCAATTTGCCAGATAGGAACCAGTGACGACTTGTGGTGAAGGACTTGGTAAGTAGATCAGCGACCTATTCTTCGGTGGGAATATAGCGCATCCGAATAGTACCAGCACCAACAAGATCACGAATATAGTGAACGTGAACCTCGATATGCTTGGTACGATTATGAAGCACCGGATTAACCGCGATCTGGATGGCGCTCGTATTGTCGACATGAAGAACCATCGGAGTAGGAATAGCTACACCAAGATCACCAAGTAATCGGGACAACCACTCCATCTCCGAACCACAATCAGACATAGCTCGATATTCCGCCTCGGTAGACGATTTGGAAACCTTGTCTTGCTTCTTGCATCTCCATGAAATAAAAGCTGAGCCAAATTGGATACACCAGCCCGTCGTAGAGCGACGGGTATCAATACAACCCGCATATTCGGAATCAGAATAGGCTCTTAAGTGAAAATCACCAGTCGAAGGAAGAAAAAGGCCAACATCTCGAGTCCCTTGAAGATATCGAAGAATACGGTGAACGGCAGCCAAATGGTCAGTGCGAGGGGCAGCCATGAACTGACTTACAACCTGTACAGCATAGGCAATGTCGGGTCGAGTAGCAACCAAGTAAATGAGACTGCCAACAATACTGCGATAGATGCGACCATCTACTAACGGAGTGCCAGACTCCTTCCCAAGCTTCAAGTTAAGCTCAATAGGAGTGCGAACAGGAAGACAGTATGCAAACCGGTGATCATCAAGAAGATCATTAATGTATTTATGCTGAGAAAAGAGAATACCACGATCAGAACGATGTACTTCAATGCCCAAAAAATAAGACAAGTGGCCGAGTTCCTTGAGGTGAAAATGAGCATGGAGATCAGCCTTCAGCTTGGAGATACCATCCAGATCATCGCCAGTGACAATCATGTCATCGACGTATATCAAAAGAACAACACGGCCACGAGGATTAGTACGAGTGAAGAGGGACGGATCATTACGACTCTGGTGAAAGCCAAAACCCAAAATAGTCTGCTGAAATTTCTCAAACCAGGCTCGGGGAGCCTGTTTGAGACCGTACAGAGAACGATGAAGTAAGCATACCTTGCCCGGAGAACTATCAGGATGCCCAGGCGGAATCTCCATATACACAACCTCCTTCAAGTCACCGTGAAGGAAGGCATTCTTGATATCAAACTGAAACAACGGCCAATTACGAACGGCAGCAACAGCGAGAAGAGTACGAACAGTGGGCATCTTAGCCACTGGAGCAAAAGTCTCCTCAAAATCGATGCCATATTCCTGTGTGAATCCCTGTGCAACCAAACGTGCCCGAAACCGCTCCAAACTGCCGTCAGGATGATATTTCACCATGTAAAGCCAACGACAACCTACCATGGGAGTGGGAGGAGGAGGACGATCAACAATTGACCAAGTATGGTTCTGATCAAGAGCATAAAACTCCTCACCCATGGCAGCTTGCCACCGAGGATCATTCTTTGCCTGTGAATAGCGGGTCAGAATAGTAATGGGAGTGACGCTGTGAGCATAAAATTCACCAAGCCTAGCAGGTGGCTTTCCAAAATTGGCCCGAGTGGACCTTCGAACAGCTGCAGGTGGTGGGGAGCTCTCAGCCGAGCTGGAGGATGTGACGTCAGGAGACGCCACGGAGTAGTCGGACGACGAGCTAGATGAGGAACCGGGCGAGTCGGGAGAACCAAGAGGTGTCTCGGGAGGCGTCTCGGGAGGGGGTTCTTCATCCTGTTCACCATCATCTTCAAAGACAGGGAGCCGAGTCGACGAAAACAATGGAGGATTGGAGGAACTAGACAAGGACTCATAGTACGTGACATTTTCAAAGAACACAACATGACACGAGATACGAATACGATCAGCAGAAGGATCATAACACAAATACCCTTTGTGGATGTCACTATACCCCAGGAACACACAACGAGACGTTTTAGAAGACATTTTATCACGCTCACGACGAGGAAGAAGGACGAAACAGAGACAGCCAAATACGCGAAGGCGCGCATAAGGAGGATGGAAGGAATGAAGAGCATAATAGGGACTAACATTTTTTAGAATGGGTGTTACTTGGTAATTGATAAGACGAATAGCAGTAGCCAGTGCTTCAGGCCAGAACCGAGAGGGAATGGAGGAGGCATGTAAAAGAGCTCTAGTAAGCTCAACAGAATGGCGATTTTTTCGCTCAATGATAGACCTTTAATTACACATGTTTTCACCCTTTTTCTTACACCGTTGGAGATGTGGTTTCTCGTGTTTTAGACCGATTTCACGCTAGGTTGTGCTTGTTTGTGATATTTCAGGTCCTGGCAAGTGAATGAAGGCTTAGGAGCGAGTTCGGGGTCGATTGGGCGAAGATCGGGCGCGAGACAAGTCACAAAGGAGGTCACACGGGCACACCCACAACTCACACGGCCGTGCAAGTGACCACTTTGGCCGTGTGAGATTGTGCGAGGGCAAACACGGCCTGCCCTGATATCCACACGGCCGTGTGAAGGAGTGGTCTGGCCGTGTGGATTTCTGCGAGAGCAAACACGGGCAGATGGAAATCTCACACGGCCGTGCGACCCTGGCCGTGTGAGAAGCCTGAAGATCGAACTAATTGGAACGCAGCGTTTTGACTCACACGGGCAACTGGGTAAGCCACACGGCCGTGCCACCTTGGCCGTGTGAGTCGGGATTTTTTGCTTTTAAGCAGATTTTCAGCCACAATTCGGGGAGATTCGAGTTTTTGAGAGAGAGATCAGTTCCTAGAGAGAGAAAGCGACGAACAAGAGTTTCCAAGTGCCCTAGCTTGATCTTCATCACCATTGGAGGCCAGTTTGAGCTTGGAGAAGTGCCGATCAACGTCCAGGAGCAGGAATCCATCCTTCACAGTATGAATTCCGCGTCTGATTCTGCTTTTGCTTCTTTCTCTATGGAGTAGTTCTCCCATTCATCTGGGTATGGAGAACCCTAGATTTGTATGTTAGGTTTGATTGTATGAACCCAAGTACTGATTCTATGAGTTGATTATATTCGATTGAGGTTTGAATGATTGAATGGCATGAATCCTGATCAAATTCCTGTTGTTTCTGCTTTGACCTAGAATGAGAATATCTGACTAGGTTGATAGAGCATCCTTGATTGAAGGTAGGGAGTTGGTGACTTTAGTCGAGGAGCCAACTCACTATTCTGTACCGGATTTACTCCGGTAGTGGAGGTTTTGTTTGTCGTCGCTGCTGCTTCTCTTCTCACTCATGCGCGGGAGAGGGATCGAGTTTAGCTGCTCGTAGGGTTTTACTTTTAGTGGGCAAAACGGCGGCATTTAGGAAAAGAGGAGATAAGTAAAAAAAGTAGTCGCTGGCAGGGATCGAACAAACGACCTCATTAATCAGCAGTATCCATTTTCCGCTAGGAAACAGGGAATAACCCGTCCCATTATTTCCAGGAAACAACTTTTAATGGTTTCCTTCTAGCTTCCTCATTTATGCCAAATGAATTTTTCCAACGAAAACGAAACTACAAATGAACACGTTTCTTATCATTTGTTTCTTGATTTTCATTTTTACAATAGAAAACAGAAAACAAAATGGGAAGTGAACGGGGCGCAAAGGAAGTCCAAAGAAAAACCAGCGCCAAATAGGGAGAGAACGAAAGCAAGGAAGGAAGCTTGGAAGGCCGTAGTAAGCCCAGACTGCTTTGTCAGAAGTTGGCCTGGTCCGTTTAATTAAATTCATAAAAGAAAAAACCACAAGATACGACGTCGTTTCCATCTCTATGGTCGGTTAATCAAAATCCCGAATTATGGTAAGAAAAAGCAAAATAGCTTTCAAAGAGCTGCTGAAACAGTCGGTCGGAAGATATACCGCTGAAATCTGCTGAGAACAGGAGCAATTTCCGGTTCAAATTATCAGGGAGAGGTATCGGACGAGCTCGTCGCCGGCAAATCCAAGCGCGAAATCTCGAGTGAACAAGGCGCTTGAAGGGAGAAGGAGACGTAGAGAAACAAGTCAGCGAAGGAGGCACAACTGAGACGGGAGTCGCGGCGGCGTGCGAGGACGCCCGAAGAGCGGAGTCGGAGATTCCAACTTTGTCCTCGATTCATCCTTATTTTTTGCCCGCGGCGGAAGAAATTCCTCACCCGGAGCTTAAAACTGAGGACGAGCAGGCTGTAATCGTGTGCTAATAAGTGGAAGAAGAAAGACCTAGTGGCTGGCCATTGCAAGGTTAGTCCATTCGTTGCTATCTTCACTATTGAACTCATTTCTTTCCTTCTTTTAATTAAATTTCTGCTTCTGACTATAGTTTGCTAGTTATCAGTGTTCTGTTACCTTCGAATCTTTTTTTTTCTTAATGAATTACTGCTAAGTTTTATTCATCGAAAGGAAGTTCATCCATAAGTAATGGACTTGCTCCAATGATAAAGTACAATAAAGGTGGCTGAAGGTACATATGCAAACACTAGAAACAAGTTGTTATGGTGGCTCAAATGGGTTTTGGCTTGTGCCATACAACATCAAATGTAGGGATTGAAGTTCTTGTTGAGATAGTTTGTTGCTACTATCCAACCATGAGCAAATGATGTAGTTGATTCTGTTGGATAGAGTGGCGCTGCTTGTGTAGTGATCACGACTCACGAGAAAGTCTAGCATTCCACTCAGTCCATAATAACTAGAACACTGCATGTGGAAGTGGCCAGAAAGTATTTGACAATCTGCAACCTTTGGTGACGTTTGACCATTGAACTAGTAGCTCGCTGCAACTACGAGGTAGAGGGCCAGCAAGATTGAGTCGAAAGAGAGAGAAGTTCCGTACCCTGGAAGAGTAGCTGCAGGGGAGAAGTAAGTGGTCTGCTGTCTCTTCTGAAGCAAATCAAAGACAACAATGATTGAGGAGAATCCACCCTCGTAATCGAAATTGAACGGTTGTCAGGATTTTTCTCCGAAAGCCAACCAACTGAAAATTGTGACTTTGGTGGGTACCATCGGCTGCCAATGGATTTTGCTGGGAATGACGATCCAAGGCCAGGAAAGAGATCTCGAGTCAATTCCTTATAGCAGAGGCTGAGAAGGCATCCTCCTGCAAAGTGGATTACCTTCGAATCGTATTTGCCTCTGTAATATTGGCTTCTAATTGAATGTTGCTTTTTTTCCATTGAAAGTGATTTCAGAGAGGGAATTATATTTTCCATTTTGATTATCTTTCCTGTGAAATTGAACTATGGAGGCGTTAAGCTGTTGAGATTAATTAGGTTTCTGGGGAGCTCCATGTTTAGGGTTTTTTTTTTTGTGTGGATAGACTTGTGATAGTTCATTGTGATTTATTAGGGTTGGCAGTGTTATAATTGTGCTTAATGATGTTTTGCAGAGGACAGGCTTCGGTGAAGCTGTGATTTTTTGCCCATTAATCCGGCAATGGCAGATTCAGGAGAATCTCAACAGCCTGAACAAAGTATTGATGCTCACTCTTGAACCGTAGTTTCTGCTTTGATTTGCTTTGTTCGCATTTTCTTGGGTTCTTATGATACATCTTTCCGCCTTCTGCTGTTCTGCAGTATGCAGCTTTTTCAGAAAGCCAACTAAGGGGAAGAACATCAGGAAGAGAGCAGTAGAAGACGATGATGCCGAGGATCCAAAAACCGACAGCTCTTTCTTAAACAATCAGAAGAAGGTGTCAAAGTCTGATAACAAGCTATACTTCTCGACAGGACCTTCCAAGAGCTCAAAGCCATCTGATTCCAACTCGGACAACAATGAGAAATCCATCTTTCAGTTTCAGTCTTCAAAGGAAATTCAGGTACAAAATGACAGTAGGGCAACATCAACTCTGGAAACCGAGACAGACTTTGGAAGAGATGCAAGGGCAATACGTGAAAGAGCTCTTAAGAAAGCAGAGGAGGATCTGAAGGGTAACAAACAGATTTCTTCAGGCGGCAATGAGAAGCTATACAAAGGAATTCATGGGTATACAGATCACAAAGCTGGATTTAGAAGAGAGCTAACAATCGCAAGTGAGAAAGCTGGTGGATCACATGGGCCACTTAGGGCATCTGCAAACATCAGGGTCTCAGCAAGGTTTGATTATCAGCCGGATATATGTAAAGATTACAAAGAGACCGGTTACTGTGGTTATGGAGATTCTTGCAAGTTTATGCATGATCGAGGGGATTACAAGTCTGGATGGCAAATGGAGAATGAGTGGGATGAGGCAGAGAAGGCAAGGAAGAGGAAATTAGCTATGGGTGCGTTGGCCAAGGAGGAAGGTGAATTTGATGAAGCCAATGATGATGACGACGATGATGACGAGGATGCGCTGCCATTTGCATGTTTCATTTGTAGGGAGCCTTTTGAAGATCCTGTTGTGACCAAGTGCAAGCATTACTTCTGTGAACATTGTGCTCTAAAGGTACCTACCTACTCATCTTCCGAAATTTAGAATCATGATCATCAATTCTTTTGCCAAGTTCTATGTTTAGCTTGCAATTCTGTAACGTGAGTAACATTCACTTATTGTGTTTTCTTCTGTCTTTTTCTTGCAGCATCATTCCAAGAACAAGAAATGCTTAGTCTGCAACAAGCCGACGCTGGGTATTTTCAACACTACTCATGAAATACGCAAGAGGATGGCAGAGGCGAACAAATGATCATGCTGGCTTGCTGCAGATGCTGTATCGGCTGATCACTTTTTGAGTCCCTGACACGGGCTGTTGCATCTTCCCGGCTCATGACACTTCGAGCAATTTCATTTTAAGAGAGTTATTAGTGATCTAGTATGATACCTTCGCATTGCGAGTATACCATGTAATCAAAAAGTTGATCTGCAGGCTTCTGGAGTCCTGATTTGCTTGTATTTCGTAGACAGTTCTTTTCATGTCTACACTGATACGATTGCGAATTTCATCCTCCAATTAAATTTCAACCAAATAGGTGCATGAAAGATCTTAAGGGGTTGTTTGGATTAGGAAATGTGGGTAGGGATTTTGTCACAATTTCTTGTCATTAGGGATTTTGTCACAATTCTTTGTTTGGATAGGAAAATGAAAATGAGGGATTTGAGTCACTAGGAATTTCGAAAATCCTATCATTAGAGAATTTAAAATAGCTGATGGACCTCAGATTTTTTGAAATCTCTTGCCTATTTTTTTCCAACCTTCCTAATTTATCCCTCCCTATTTTTTGGTATTACTTTCTTACCCTCACTCTTTATTCAATGACCCACCACTTCCAATTGTCTAGAACCAGAAGTTTGCACAGGCCTACCATACTTTGTGCTTTAAATAACTGTTAATATTGGGGGTCGTGGAGATTCGAACACACGACCACTTGGTCAAACCAGCTCTGATACCATGTCAAAACCAGTTGCTCCCAATAACTCGAGTTGTTGGGAGAAAGTTCTGTTGGATCTTATACCACTCTCTAACACCAATCTCTCTTTCCCATCTACATCTCTTTCTTCCCTCCCGATACGAGAAGCTGCAAGCAGAGTTTCAACCTCACATCATTGGCGACTGTAGCGGAGATAAACCTAGCGACGTCGGCAACTGCAGCGGAGTTTTACCACCAGCTCCGATCTACACCGACGTTGACGGTCGTCTTAAAGTCCGTCCGATCTCCATTTTCGATCTCGCCAGCTTTGCGTGGGATTTGTGCTTCGGACTCAACCAACTGAAGCTTGGAATCAGTTTAGGACTGATTTGGTCTCAGAGATGTGGCAAACTCGACCTGCTAGATTTCGAGCTTCGTCTTGAGTTTGATTCATTGTTGTTTGGCTGTATTCATTAAATATTGAGGACTTGTTCAGTTGTAATGGTTAATACATGTTCAGTTGTAATTCAAGGTAGTTGTTTTGACAAGTAGACAAAATTGGGATCCCCTCTTTGCCCCTCCTTTTTTGTGTTAGTGTTTTCACTTCTGAAATATTACTACTACTCAGTTTTGGATTGTGAAAGAAGTTGAAAGTTTTAGATGAATCCCATGAATTTATCTAAATATTGGATCATGGCATAATAGCTTTTCTGTTGTTTTAAACTTGATGCTTAATTTGAATGGAGGCTGTGTTCGGCGCAGTTGGGTTGTTATTTAATGAATGCCTATTTGGTCGCAGACTCGCAGTGTTTGATCCGTCTATGGACCAACTTTTGCTTTTTGTCAGTGATTCTCATGGCTAGTAGTAGTCTCAATGATTGATTTTTGCTTCGCTGGGTGCAGACCTGTTAGTATGAGCCGCAAGTTCCTCTCGACATGATCGAAATAGAAATCGGGACTTATCTAAGCTCGTACCAAGTACTAAGTATATTGTTTGCTGGCTTTAGTTGGGCATTAAGAAACACCTAGGTAAGCCACAAGGATAAGCTCTTGCACACGCAGGGTAAGATATGTATGCAAATTGCAAAGCCCTATAAGCAGTGATCATTTGTTTCCCTCCTTTTCAATGTCCGTTTAAGATGCCTGCTTTATTGTAGTCTAGTTGAAGCTGATATTGATTTAGTTGTTAATCTTGTTTCCATTTGTAATGAATACAATGTTCTATTCATAGATTGGTTGTATTATGTGTGTTTAATGGTTCTTATCTATAGCAGTACGAAACTAGAGTTGTTTATATTGTTCTCTTTGTACTTATCTAGGCTAAGACATGGATATCCTCTTTTGTATTGTTCTGTTTTGCAGCATGCGAAAGTGAAAGCAACGTGATGAAGATATGGATGGTGCTTGCTCTAAGAAATATACGTACTGGAAAGAGGAACTAGGAAAGCCATTTGTTGACTGTATTCTGAAGTTAGTAGAGAAGGGGCAGATCGTTGACGCCAACTGCAAGAATGGGGCTTATAACCAGTTAAAGAAACTGTTGCAGGAAAGAGTGTCGGGATGCAGGGTCAAGGCATATCCTAACATTGAAGGCAGGTTCAAAAAACTGAAAAAGAGATGGCATGCAATAACGTTTATGAGGAAACAAAGTGGTTGGGGATGGGACGAGGTCAATAAATGCATTGTATGTCCCGAGGGATCTTGGGATGATTTTGCGAACGTAAATGATGACTTGATATATACACGTGTTTTTGTCCATCATTCCTATACCGTTTGAATCTCATCTCTCGTGTTTTAGGCCGATTTCATGCTAGGTTGTTCTTGTTTGTGATATTTCAGGTCTTAGCACGTGAAGGAAGGTTTGGGCATGAGTTCTGGGCAGATTGGACGAAGTTAGAACATGGACGAAAAGCTGGGGAAACCACACGGCCAGACCTAAATGTCACACGACAGTGTGACGTGGCCGTGTGGAACCCCTTTGCGCGGGCAAGCCACACTGGTCGTGTAAAGGATGCTTCGTGGCCCTGTGGAATTCCCAGGGAGCTCACACGGACAGGCCATAATTTCACACGGCCGTGCGGTTCTGGTCGTGCAGCGTACATGAAGTCCGGTTTGTCACATTCACTTCGTCTAAATTTCTTCCATGTCCCTTAGCCACAATGGAGTTTGAGTTTCGCCCTGATCTTTGTATAGTGGTGGGGTGGTTTATACCCTTGCTCCATTAATGGTTATCAGCTGCTTTTACTAAGAACTAGTTGCTTGAAGTTTTCATTTGGTTGTTCAGAGAAATGGTTTATGCTGTATGTTGGGTGCATTTAGGGCTTTACCATCTAGATTTCGATAGTTTGTTGATTTCAAATTGTTAGCTAAACGGTTCCTTCTTGTTCGACAGACTTTCGTTAGCTTCCTTGAACAAAAATGGCAGAAGAGGAAGAGAAAGAAGGGGAAGAGACATGAGAGGAAGAAGAAGAAGAAGAAGGCAGCTCAGACAGTCAGAAGCAGGAGCATAGTGGGGAAGGCATAGTTTCCTTGCAGCTAGGGGCTCCAATCCTGGTAGTAGTTTTCATATAGGTAAAAATATATATTAGTGATAGACTAGGTGATTTAAATTAGAATACTAATATTATTAGTACACATGTTTTCCATTAGTATACGTACGACTAATTTGTTATTGTGTTTTCAACACAAGTTTAATAGTAAAAAAATTATTCTTTTCCCCAATTATTTTCAAAATAACAATTGAACCTAATTACAAGCTACCCTTATTCCCTCCATTCTATCATATCCATTGGTTTATTTGTTTCTCAAAGTTATTGATTTTACCGATTGCAACTGCAAGTGTTGAAATAACATTTTTAGTTTTGGTATACTTTAAGAACATGTTTCGAAATTGAATAAGCGATTAGTTCGTGAATGATTGTACAGTAAGATAGAGATATTTGTTGAGCCCTGTAGACGCACATCAAATATTAGTGTTTTGGTTGACAAATTTTTACATAAATTCTAAATGGGACGTGACAGCGCCATAATTTATGATTAGAAAACCAAAGTATCACAAGTGAGTGTTCTAAATATTGGAAATTTTCAATATAAACATACTAAAAACTTTGTTATGAATAAGAACACAAAATAATTAAAAGATCCAAAATGATTTAATCATATAAATAAGTTAATTAATATAAATTATAAAATAAATCTCTCCGGTCAACGGATCGAGTAAGAAACTAGTTTACCATAGAAAAGTGAAATCTTTGTTTAAAGAAATGCGTTGAAAAATGGTAAATAGGTAGATCTCTCAACAAAATTCCTCGATTTTAAAACCTAAACAAAAGTGAACTCTTTGTTTTAGAACAAGTTAACCCTCTCTGTTCCTTCGCCTATCTCTAGTGGCCATTTTCTCCCCATACCTCCCAAGCACATCAGCCAAATCAACCAATCCAACCTCCCTCAACTTCTTTGCCGTCTCCAAGAACAGAACAACTCCTTCCTCGTTGGAGAAGTAGTGGAGAAACTTGTTGTAATCAAACCTCGGAACTTTCATCCCGCCATTCAGTATCCTCTCAACATACTTGGTAGCTTCCAGCGACTTCCCAGCTTTCACCAACCCGCCAACGAAAATGGTGTCGAAGTTCACAGTGGAGTCAGGACCCTTCCGCCCTCTCTTCCCCAAGTGGCCTTGCAGCAGCATCACGTACGTATGCATTATGGGCTCGCAGCCTCTGTTTATCATCTCCCTGAAGACTTCTGTTGCTTCTCTGGGTCTTTTCGAGCTCAGCAGCCCTTTGATCAGTCCGTGGTAGATGGCTATGTCCGGTTTCTCGATCTGTTGCAGCACTCTCTGGGCCTCGTTCACTCGGCCTCTTGATGACAGCCCGAAGAGAAGGGATCCCAACGTTGCGCAATCGGGTTGAATTCCTCTCTGCCGCATTTCGTCGAACAGTTGTTGTGCTTGGCTGAGCTTGCCCTTCTTGCAGAACCATGAAATGACGAGGTTGTAAGTCGAGAGTCCTAGTTCTTCCATCCTGTTAACTCGTAGGGTTTGGAACACTTTCACGGCTTCAGTGTCCTCGTTCTTTTTGAAGAACGTCTCGATCATTTTCTCGAACACTTGGATCTCCGGATCGAACCCATCCTCCACCATTAAATTCCAGACCTTTGACGCTTCAATCATGTCGTCGATGTCGCAGAATCCTTTAATCAGGCACCCATAAGTGAACCCATCTGGGGGAATGGTGTCCTTAAGCTTCAAAGTCACGTACTTGGCCTCTTCCATGAGCCCATCTCGACACAGAGCCTCCACGACCTTGTTCAACCTCCGCAAGCTGTATTCAACCCCTGAATCATTCATCAGGTGGAAAAACTGCACGCACTTCTTCAGCTCCCTCGCGGAGGCCAGAGTTCTGAGAACAATCACGAACGTTCTGTCGCTCACCAACCCCAATTGGCCTGCCTGCTGAGCCGTTTCCCAGAGCAGATCCATGTTTCTCGCCTTGCTGTAGACATCGAGCATCTTATTGAAGGAGACGAAGGTGTGGGCGAAATTGTTATGTAGGGAAGGCGTTTGCTGAATGTACTGAAAGAAGCGGTGGACTGGACGCCAGGAGAAAGGGAATCTGTTGCACACTTGGAGGAAGAACTCGTGGGTAAGCTGGAAGTCGCAGGTAGAGAGCTTGGATTGGAGCTTGGAGTCTGGAAAGATTTGTTGTTGAAAGAGGATCGTGCAGACTCGAATTAGGTGATCTAAGTTAATTGGCGTTGGTTGCAGCGACGGCGGCGGAGGTTGGTGTTGTTGGACTATTGATTCGTTGGTGAGGAGACGATGGAGGGAGGAGAAGACACGGCGGTGGTGTTGGTTGAAGAGAGGTCTGAGGATCATTCTGCTTATGGAGGAGAAGACGATCAGCAATGCACCTGCAAAAAAAAAGAGAAGATGAAGAATCAGTTAGTTAAAGCCCAGAGCCTAGTTCGACCCAAAACGGAGCCCAGTTCGGCCCAAAACTGAGTCCAGGTTCAGGACTAGACAAAACCCATACTCAGGCCCGTAACTGCAGGCCCAATTCGGCCCGAAGCCAATTGGATAACCCTAATCCATAACAGGCCCTGACAAGTCTGAACCGACTTTAGTAGGTGGAGGCGTGAGATGCGGCCTTAAATTCGACCAATCAGAAAGAGGCAACACAATTTCAGCCCCAACAATGACCAATCAACAAATGACACGTGGCTCATCATTTTTACTATAAATGATCTCTTTCAGCTCTTGTTTTGGAGGAGTGGGGAGGAGGAGAAAAAAAAAAGAGTGGAGAAAAAACAACACAGATTTCATCGTTCTTTCTTAGAGAATCCATAGATAGACATCTTTCATTTTCGTTTTATTCTTTCTTAGAGAATCCATAGATAGACATCTTTCATTTTCGTTTTACAAGCGACGTGGGCGACCCAGAGGCAAAAGCAAAGGATCCTGAGGTCCAAGGTTAGAGATTTGTACTCTTTCGTCTATTTTGATAATAATACAAGTAGAACCATTTACGATCAATCACTTGCCCAGATCCTTTTAGTTACTATTGTCTCTATCATAGTAGTTTCTTTCATCTATTGTCTCTATCATACTATTGTGCTCAACAATTACTATTGCTCTTTAGGTTGGCAATTATTTATTTATTGACTATACTGGCTTAGCATACATCATTACTCCGCCCTTTTTTACAAGCAATTATTATAGCCAAATTTTCCTAGTTTTAATTTCCCTTCTTACTATATAGTCGGATAACCACAATATTATCATACATAAACAAATTTAAGTAGTATAAATAGATAAAGTTTTGATCTCTTTAAATCCAGATCCAAATCCAACAGAAACACCATAAACACACTAAAACTTCATATTTCAAACCCATAAATCAACCATAGCCGAATAGAAATAAAAGCTAAAGTACAGTTCAAGAACTCTTGCCAATTCTTTTAAATCACCCAAAACTTTAATCTGACTAAATCCCACAGCAGTAGCAGTGATGTAGAGTCGAGGGTGGCTGTTACTATTTGCATTACAAAAATTAATTTCTTTTACTACTTAGGTTAGGCAAGAGAAAGATATTTAAGTTTCAAGCTTTAAACTTAATGTAACCAAAATCGCATACATCATCAAAAGCACACAGGTATAGTTTTTTTTGTTAAAAACTAGTCTAATTTTTAGACTTTGACCTATCAGATCCAAAACCCAGGATCTGCCGAAACCAAATCCAGATTAGCAAGCAATAAAAGACCACTCAATAAAGCATAAAACGCCAAGACCGTCTTCCATAAACTCGGATCTACAAACAAATTATTTTTTTTAGTTTAACCTTCCTAGTTAAACTATTCAGAGTTAGGAGACCTCACCAAAATCTCTAGGTATTATATCTGTAAAAAATCAAAGAATAAAGGATCAGAACAAACCCAAATCGAAGTAAACGAAAATTGAACAGGAAAGCAAACCCATAAAGGACTTACCCCAAACAAAACCCTCGTCGTCGGCGACCGCCGCCCTTCCCTTCCTTCCCTCGGCGGAAGTCCGAAATCAATAACACAAAAAACAAGTCAAATCCCAATCTTGTTTGTTAAATCGAATAAAATAGGACATGCATTTAAAATGGAGCTTACCAGAGGGTAAAACCTCCTCGTCGTCACCTCTGTTCCAACTAGAAGGGGTAGAACGAGATTATTAGAAGGTAAATCGAGACACCTCTTCGGTTTTAGATCGATCTCCGAAAGAAAAACAAGAAAAGGGTTAGAATCTCGCTCAAAAACCCAGTAATAAAAAAAACAAACTTGCATGCAATAATCTTACCTAGATCGAAGGTCTCCCGCTCGATTTTTTTTAAGCAACCTTCGTCATATCAGCGGCGGCTTTGAGCGAGGCTAGGGTTTAGGTTTTCTCTGAGCGAGAGAGAGAGATGAGGGACGAGAGGAGAGAGCGGCGGCGGTTTTGGATCGGGGTTAGGGTTTGTTGGTCTCTGGCCGAGAGAGAGAGAGGAACGAGAGGGAGAGAGTTTGAGCGGCGGCCGCTAGGTCAAATTAGCAACCTACAAAATAAAAACAAATCAGCTAGTAGAGGCTCAACGGAAGCTCAATCACAAGCCCAAACTCAGATTCAAAGTCTGGCCCAAGATTAAAGACAGGCTGATTCTAGCCCATAGTTCGGACCCAGATGTGAAGAAACCAAATCGGGCCCAACTCGGCCCAACGAAGTCCATCCCAACCCAAGCCCAGACAACCTAAAATTGTGTGCCAAGCCTATCTTGAACATACCCTGATCAGTCAGAACTCAGAACCGACCAAGCAAGGTGAAGGCTATTGGGGCAGCCTCAAAATTCGACCTATCAGAAAGAAACACGGCATTTCAAGTCTTAACAAAGACCAATGGCGAAACAACACGTGGCATGCGATTTAGCTATAAGTGGAGCTCTTCAGCTCTTGATTTGGGGGGACGAATGGGAGGAAGAAGTCACAGAAAATCTAAAAAGAACTCTTCATTACAACACGAAACTTAGTCCAGGGATTGGATGGAGCAGATATCTCAATAAGGTTGGTGTTTTAAACCCTACTTTCATTATTGGTAAATTTAAAGCCATATAGGGTCTCCACTCTATCTTTGCAGAGTCATAATCATCCATCTATTTGCATATTTATACTAGAGTATTTTCCAATACAAGCTATGTAATGGTCAAATATTATTTTTCAAGATCTGCTCTTATCAATTTCATTAAGCTCTATCATTAAAGTTTTTTTTCCTTCTCATATTAATAGTTTTGGCTGTGCGATTACTATTATGCCGATTAACTTAACTATGACTAGAGCTGGATATTTTGGTTTAAATTCTTTTTGCCATGTTTAGATTTTCCTCATTAGTAGCCATACATACATATACATGTACAGATTAAAGTAAAACTAGATATAGCACATATTTTTTTTAACAATCAAAACAAACTTTTTAGAAGTCCTTGGATGAACCTGGATCCAAATCCAACAAAAATCACTCAAGCACCATAAGTTTTAGAGTTTAAAACCCATACCAATTTCGCAAAATCACAAGTAGCAGTGATTTAGAGTCCATTATTTCTACAAAATCATAAGCAGTAGCAATGATTTATAGCACCCAGTCAAGCAAAATCACGGGCAGAGGCAGTGATTTATAATCACCTAAATTAGCAATTTTAGGGCCATTTAATTACTTAACCCATTACAAAAACTTCTTTTTCGTTTTAGCAAATTCCAACATATCAAGATTTGCATCTAAATTCATCCACCAAACACCAAAATTATCGAACTCATACATAACCATTTTAGTGAAAAACCCAGAACTTCAATCAGATTCAACCCTTTTTTTTTGTTCCAAGTTCCAAAATCTTACTAAGTCAGGTTTAGCAAACCTTACCCAGATCTGTAAATCTCCACACCTGCACCAAAATAAATCAACAGTTAGAAATTGGTATCGATTAAGCAGGCATCAAACGGAATTAAAAAGGAGCCACCACTGCTCACCTACTCACCCTGTCGCCGGCGTTTCTCAACGCCGGCGAATACCCTTCTCCTTCGGTCAACCTTTTTTTTCTTCTCCCTCGTCCAAGACCAAACCCCAATAAAACAAAATAAATAAATAAATATCAGAACCTCAAATCAACAAAAAAAACACGAATAGCAAGAAAAAAAAAAGAACCTACCTAAGCCAACATCGCCGTCGCTCTGACGCAGGCCGCGCCGCCGACGACCTTCCCCTCCTTATCAAAAATCCGAAATCAAAAAGAGGTTAGAATCGCATTAAACCCCAAATAAAATCACCTAAACCGAACGAAAACGAGCATGCATGTCAAAAAAGGCTCACCAGAGGGTAGTATTCACCCATCGTCGCCGTCGTTTCGGCGAGGAAGGTAGATCGACAAGTCCCCACCTTGGTTTGGGTTGATTTCTCCATAAATGAAAAAAGAAAACGAAAAGAAACTTAGTAGAATCCATTGAAAAATCCGAAAATAGAAAGAAAAAGAGCATGCATGTCTAGGATCTTACCTAGATCGATACCTTCTAGGTCGATTTAGCTGATACGAGCGATTCCCTTTCTCGGATTAGAGAGGTAGAACGCGAGGCGAGAGGTTAAGGATGTCGGCGGCGGGTTTGATTAGGTTTGGGTTTCGTTTTTTATGTTTCTGGAGAGGAAGAGAGATCGGCCGAGAGATAGAGAGAGAGAGGCGAAAGTTAAAGAAGAATCGAGAAGGAAAGAGAGGAGGAGGCGGCCACTTTTTTGGTAAGGCCGAATTAGGGTTTCCTTAAGGTGAATTTATACCCACCTGAAAAAGTTCAAAATGCCCCTAGGGTTTTATTGTTAATTACGCGGCCGTGCCACCGTCCTTTTGTGAGCTTACCAAATTGCCCTTCCACCTTCTCTGCTCTAAAACGAGATAAACAAAAAAAATTGTAGTTAGCTCGTTTCGAACCCCTGTACACTCGAGCAAGAGACGAGTTTGGTCTGGCGTTTTGGCCAGTTGGGCTGCTGGCCCTCATGCGTTAATAATATAATCCCGTATAGTTTTATTTATTTTAAATTACGAAATGTAGAATTGCGGATTAAGTATATCTCGTTTCTTTTCTAATACATCAAAACTCCTCTTAATAATTGAAATTATTAAATTATCTTTTTATAATTTCATAATACCAATATCTCGTTTCTTTTCTAATACATCAAAACTCCTCTTAATGATTGAAATTATTAAATTATCTTTTTATAATTTCATAATACCAACCTAAATTTTACTAACAATAAATTTTGATACGAGAACCAGGATCAGTGGAATGTGGTAATAATTTTATTTAAAATTTTCAAAGTCCGAACGAACTACGTGGACTTTGATCCCGTCTAACGGGTACGTAGGCAACCGATAAGGTTCGAGTCCAACTAACCAACTAACTTTATCTTTTACGTCAATGGGCGTACAATTAAATTATAATTAATACGATTCAATTTCTTTAATGGTCCAGTGGGACCCTCAAATTACAAAAATATTAAAAAATACACCCAACTCGTATAAAACTTATCGACTTAAGTAGTACCGATTTAGGGCGTTGTGGGGTGTGATTTCACTTCCCCACAGGTAACCGTACTCCCGAACCCAAATTTCTTAACCGCAGACCATATCTCGGTTCTGACCCTAAGGTCGGAGCCGATTCGAAGAGTGTTCGATCCACTCCAAGTAAGATCGATGGCGACTCCCAAAAATGCCGACGCGACGACATTCGGACCCCCCGGAGGGACGGTTGCGACATACATATCTGCATCATTTCGCCTTCTTTTGGTTTCGTTCCGCTCGTGTTCTTCCCGCGTCAGCCAGATAGTTACTTAGTAGAGAGCTTGAGATGGAGTTAGGACGCGAAACTGAAAGGCGACAAGGGTTTGAGGAAGAAGAAGCATTGGTGGGGATGGAAGGGCGAGTTCTTAGAGAGTCGTGGCGGCGTGCGATGGCGGCCGGAAAACGTGTTTAGTTATTTCCTACTGTTTTCTGGTAATTGATTATCACAATTTTTTCATTGAGTATCATACAATTCTAATCATAATTATAATTTTTAATATGAATGACATTGTTTTCAAAGTACTAATAAACACAATACAAGTATAACATCATATGTCGAATAAGTTCCTTTATTGCCCTCATTGCACTTCATTGACATTCTCTTTCATGCAATAATCTCGATACTCTTCAAATAAAGTATCGTAATTGAAGTATTTGTTTTCCACCTCATTACCATCCATTGCTTATCAAACTACAATTCAAACAACAAAGGCATCTGCATATCCCAACCAAACCGTTTTCCACCTCATTACTATCCATTGCTTATCAAACTACAATTCAAACAACAAAGGCATCTACATATCCCAACCAAACCCACCGCCCAAAAAAGGACTCCAGATACACCAATCACCCAGGCTGATCTAAACCCACCCTTCCCATTAGTCACAGAAACTGCTCTAAGTGCCAAAATCACCACTTACTTTCATTTGCTCATCAGTAGTCGGATCTTAGTCCTCAAATCGACAGTTATTGCTCTAAGTGGATTTGTAACAACTCAACTAATTAACAAGAAACAACCTCAGATCACACACTTCATCAATTGCCAAACAGATTACAAACAAACAAAAGGGCATACAATTCACAAAAGGGCAAACAAATTGCCAGTTCTAACACGTCTTTCACACACTTCACCGCTAGCTAATTAAACCACCACAATCAGCAAATTTGACGAACACATGAGGAGATAATTGACATCCGAGCTAGCTAATTAAACCACCAAAAACTTCAACGATGGCCCAAAGCTTGGCAGATGACATCAGAATCAGTTATCATATCATAGACACATGAATCAAACATGGAAATGGGTAGACTTTCAAGAGAACCAAACAGGGGAGCAAGTAAATCTTTGTGGAGAAGGAAATCTTTCATGGAGGCAATATGTTCTGTTCCTACACAAGGCAAAGTTGGAAGAGGACTAACCTCAAGCAGAGGAGATCGTCGATGCTGCTGGGGAGCGGGAAGGCCGCCTGTTTCGACACTGCTGGAGGAGAGGATTCGTCCGATGGAGAGGCTCGAACGAATCGTCGGGTGGAGGAGGGAGATGGCGAACGGCTGTAGGTTCTCTTCGACGGTGGAGAATCGCGTCGCTGCAGCTTGATTTCGCCGACTGGAGGAAGGATTCGCCTTCGCTGCTTCCCGTTGCAGACGCGGTCGTCGCTGCTGCTTCTCTTCTCACTCAGGCGCGGGAGATGGATCGATTTTAGCTGCTCGTAGGGTTTTACTTTTAGTGGGCAAAACGGCGGCATTTAGGAAAAGAGGAGATAAGTAAAAAAAGTAGTCGCTGGCAGGGATCGAACAAACGACCTCATTAATCAGCAGTATCCATTTTCCGCTAGGAAACAGGGAATAACCCGTCCCATTATTTCCAGGAAACAACTTTTAATGGTTTCCTTCTAGCTTCCTCATTTATGCAAAATGAATTTTTCCAACGAAAACGAAACTACAAGTGAACACGTTTCTTATCATTTGTTTCTTGATTTTCATTTTTACAATAGAAAATAGAAAACAAAATGGGAAGTGAACGGGGCGCAAAGGAAGTCCAAAGAAAAACCAGCGCCAAACAGGGAGAGAACGAAAGCAAGGAAGGAAGCCAACTCACTATTCTGTACCGGATTTACTCCGGTAGTGGAGGTTTTGGTTGTTAAGGCCTCAATCTGTTTACTCCGGTGGAGTTTAGTCGCCCGCTAGAGACTCAGATTGAGAGGGTCTGAAGACCTTTAGTCGAGACTTCAGGCTGTTTAAGAACCTTCCGTAGTATAACTATCATAGAGACAGAACTTGGTAATTACAATCCGGCTTAACTGCAGTCTAGGGGGAACCATATCCGGGTGACCTCTCTTAACCTGAATACAACAATTACTTGCTTTGTTAGTTTGTTAGTTTAGACTTGCATTAAAGTTTCATTGCTAGATAACAAGAATTCACCGAGTAGTCATCAAATCTAGGACCCGGGTTGATATTAAAACCCAAACCCGCTATACTACGCTTTAGAAAGTGGTTTCACTTGGCCAATTCCTAGGGTGACAGTAGAAGTGAGTCAAGTTTTTCGCGCCGTTTCCGGGGACGGCTAGGTTGTTGAAGAAAAGTGATTTCTGTTAATTTAGCTTTTCTTTTTGCTTTGTTTGCTTTGTCCCACTTGTGCCTTCACGGGTTTGCTTGCTTGAGTGTGTGCAGGTAGTGCATGACCCGTAGCCAGTCGGGAGGTTTACTGCCGTTGAATCCAGAGATTGACCGCACCTGTCGCCAACTTAGGAGACAACAGCGAGCTAGACTGGCTACGGAAGAGCGCATAGACGGCCACCTGAGCAGCGATTCTGAGGAAGAGTACAGGATGGACGGAGAGTACAATCCACACCAAGGGAATCCTCAGCAGGTTCCCCCGGTGAATCAGGTCCTGGGGAACAACTCCATACCACAGGATCATGGGGCTCATCATCATCCACCGCCGCAGGGTCCCACGTTGGAGTACTACTACACTCCACGGATTGCTGACATCCGCCCGGTCATCCTCTACCCGCCTATTCCAGCAAACAACTTTGAGATCAAGCCATGCTGGATTCAGCTCATTACATCTTCTATCCAGTTCCATGGCTTGAAGGATGAGGAGGCCAGGGTACATCTTTCCCGTTTTCTGCAGCTGACAAACGGGTTCAAACTGAATGGTGTCCCGGATGATGCAATCCGCCTTCATCTCTTCCCCCATTCTCTGGCGGGGAATGCTAAGAGGTGGTTGGAGACCCAACCCCCATTGTCCATCACCTCTTGGGACGATCTGGCTGACAAATTCGTGCACCGGTACTATCCGGCATCGAAGACTACAGAGATCCAGCGGGAGATCACTCACTTCCCCCAAGAGCCAGATGAGTCACTTCGTGATGCATGGGAGCGATACATGGGATATTTCTGGCAGTGTCCCCATCATGGCTTTAGTGATGCATTCACAGTGGGGAACTTCTACAGTGCTCTCTCTCCAGACAGCCAGAGGGTGATTGAGTCTCTATGCCCAGGAGGGGATATTCTTACTAAGACTCCACCCGAGCTGAACCAGATGATCAGTACTTTGGCTGCCAGAGATCATTCTTGGGGACAGGGTAGCCAAGGCAGACAGTCCCGGGACCGTGGTGTGCACGCCATGGAGACCAGATCCGGGCTCGAGCAGCAGGTAGCTGAGCTAGTGCAGACATTGAAGCAGCCCAACAGTCTTATTCCGGGCAGAGGTTTGGCTACACCTCCAGTAGCTCAATGTCAGTGGTGCGAGAGCTCCAATCACCTAGTGGAGTACTGCCAGGCTATGAGGGAGTCTACCACTCCCCAAGAGCAGTTGGACTTCATCGCCAATGCTCGGCGCCTCGACCCGTACAGCAACACATATAATGAGGGGTGGCGCCAGCATCCCAACTTCGCCTGGAGCAACAACACCACTAAACCACCTGGTTTCCCAGCACTAGCAGGTGGTTTTCAGCAGAGGCAGCCCTTCCAGGCTCGACAGGGGTCAGCCCCACAGCAGCAGCCCTACCAGCCTAGGCAGGGGCAACCATTCCAGCAGCCACAGCGCCAGTTCGCCGAACCAGCAGCAGCTCCAGCCCCAGATGACCGGATGACAAAGCTGGAAAATATTCTGGCCTCATTCATGACTAGCACTCAGGCAGCTATCACGTCACTGGAGGCAGGTCAGCGGAACCAGGGTGCCATCTTGCAAGATCTGCAGAACCAGGTGGGTATCTTGGCCCGCCAAAATACTACCAGGGCACCGGGGACTCTGCCTGCCACCACTATCCCGAATCCTCGGGATCCTCATAAGCTCTAGCAGCTGGATGCCATTTTTACCAGGAGCGGTAAGACCATATCTGCTGATCCTGTCCCGGCCAGACAGGAGGAACCACTACATACTTTAGCACTTCCAGCCGACGATGCAGCAGTGCGGGTGGAGAAGGAAGCCCCTGCTCCCAAGCCACAACCAGTGGTTAAGGAGCATGTACCCCAGCTTCCCTTCCCCACTCGCCTACACAAAGACAAGTTGGAGACTGAGTTTGCCAATTTTATGGCAATGTTGAAGCAGCTCAACATCAGCATACCGTTTGTGGAGGCACTGTCGAAGATGCCCAAGTACGCGAAGTTCATGAAAAATCTCCTCACCAACAAGAAGAAACTTGGGGATCTCTCGACAGTGTTGCTGAGCGAGGAGTGTTCTGCTATCCTGCAGAACAAGCTGCCCGAAAAGCGCAATGATCCAGGGAGTTTTACTATCCCTCTTACTATTGGCAGCATGCATGTAGGCAAGTCCTTGGCGGACCTAGGCGCTAGCATAAATGTCATGCCATATAAGTTGTATAAAAAGCTAGACCTAGGTGAACTTAGCCCTACTAGGATGAGCATTCAGTTAGCTGATCGTTCCATTGTACATCCTAGGGGGATCATAGAGGATCTGCTTGTTAAAGTAGGTGTATTCACATATCCTGTTGATTTTGTTATTCTTGATATACATGAGGATGTGGATGTGCCTTTGATTCTGGGTAGAACATTTCTTGCCACCGCCAAGGCACTTATTGATGTGCATGATGGTAAACTGATCTTGCGTGCTGGGAATGAACAGGCTACTTTTTCTGTGACTGAATTCGACCACTGTGCTATGCTTGATGTCACACCTGTGCATGCCCTTTATGATCAGGTACACGAGCCTGTCGTGTATCCTTCTGCACCTCTCATTTTGCAGGACCCTCCTATCATTCCTTCGCCACCACTCCATCCAGCCTCGCCTCCGAAAAAAAAGATCAAGGAGGAGTGGCGGCCGAAGCAACAGGTTGCCAAGCCTGCACGGAAGAAGGGTGGAGACCACTATGAGCTGGTTCCACCTCCTGCACCACGACCACCCTGGCTGTCTGGGTACTCACTCGCCTGCATCTTGCCAGATGGCCAGGTCGAGCTGACCGATGATGGTGGTCGCATCCGTCGGGTGCATGGCCACAACCTGAAGCTGTACCTCAAGAGCGACGTGGATCCGCTCTTGGAGGCACCTGTTCCTTCACCTCCCTGAGTATCCACCATGGGCGTCCAGCTAAAAGACGGTAAAGAAGCGCTTGTGGGGAGGCAACCCCACCACGGTTTGACTTTCTTTCTTGTGTTTTGAGTCGGATTGTAAACCGGTTTGATTTTGGTTTGTTTTCTTTTGTTTTGGATGATGTCTTATTGGGCTGACATTGGACCTAACATATTGTGTTTGAGCTCTTCTGTTCCCCTTTAGCTGTGCTTTGTTCCAGACTGGTCCCTCCCCAGTCCGCTTCACTCGGCGGGTCCGCTCCCAGCCTCCTGCAGTCCGGGCATACCGGTAACATCGTTCCTCTTTTCCTTCCCTCTTCTCCATTGAGGGCAATGTCGATCTTAAGTGTGGGGGGATGTTTATCTTTTGACTGCATTAGATCTGTTTGTGTGCTTGGAGCCTAGTCCACTGTCCAAATTTTTAAATTTGAGGGCTCCAAGTACATGTTTCCGTGCAATTGCCTGCTCAGTATGCTTTGAATTGTCAGTCTTTGTAGTAATATGCAACCTAGGGAGGTAGTGTAGCACTATGGAGGATGTTGATGCATTTAAGAAGTCTCATTTCTTCTTCATATTGTGTTGGTTGATTGAGTGAATTAGTGATCTTAGGACCCTTGAGTTGTGTGGTGTTGTGGACTCTCTACCTGTCATGGACTCTTGTTTCATGTTTTGAGTTTAACAGGTGCTCGAAAATATGCTTCAAAATAACGTCTCCCGTGCGAATAGGGCGAAAGTGTGTAAGGGGAGACGGGAATCCGTTCCCAATTTCCACCTACTACCTCCAGCCCCCTTACATGTCTTTCCCCCGCACGAGGCTCGAGACATCCGCTCCTGGCATGGCCGGTAAGAGCAGGTTGGGACCCTTGAAAAAAAAAAAAGAAAGAAATAACAGAAAACGAGCAAAACAGAAAGAAAAGGGGTTCCAACCATCTTCAAGAAGAAAATAGAGCACCTTGAAAAATGTGAGTCCACGATCCTTTGTTTTTGAGAATCTCTTCATCCACAATTCATTTGTCCTCTGTTCACTATTCGCCATGATGCCGACTCGATACTAGTGCTCTCGCCGAAGGAGCTATGAGATGACTTGTGCGTCGGTTGACCACGTAAGCTGCTAAATGATCTAGGAAGTCCTCTACCTACGATCTGGGTTATTTGTTGCTATAGAGGTCTGGAGAGCTGCATTGGTTTGAGTTAGGTTTGCTTGGGGACAAGCAAACGGTTAAGTGTGGGGGAATTTGATAACGATGTAATTTCACATATTTGCGCCCCTAGTTCTTATCCGTTTGAGGGGCATAGTCGTGTATTTTGGCCTATTTTACGCCGGGTTGTGCTATTTTGTCATATTTCAAGTCCCAGGCGTCAAAGGAAAGGCTAAGCACGAGTTTCGGGGCATTCGGAAGTCATTTCGTCGAGCTGGAGCCAAAACACGGGCACACCTAAAACAGAACACGGCCGTGTTCTGTGGCCGTGCTTTTACTGCCAAGAGCAAATTCGAGTTTGGCATACATGAGCTGATTACACGGGCAGGGCCAAGACAAAGCACGGTCGTGTCCACCCAAAGCACGGCCGTGTCCTCCCAAAAGCACGGCCGTGTTTCTCCCAACTGCTGGCCGTGTAATTAACCCTAGCCAAAGCACGGGCGGGCTGAGGCAAAGCACGCCCGTGCCCTCGACCGTGCTTTGGCCACTGATGCCCTTTTAAGCAGATTTCAGCCAAAACAGAAGGGGATTCGAGTTTTGAGAGAGATAGAGCGATTCCTAGAGAGAGAAAGTGACAAACAAGAGTCTCCAAGTGCCCTAGCTTGATCTTCATCACCATTGGAGGCCAGTTTGAGCTTGGAGAAGTGCCGATCAACGTCCAGGAGCAGGAATCCATCCTTCACTGTATGAATTCCGCGTCTGATTCTGCTTTTGCTTCTTTCTCCATGGAGTAGTTCTCCCATTCATCTGGGTATGGAGAACCCTAGATTTGTATGTTAGGATTGATTGTATGAACCCAAGTACTGATTCTATGATTTGATTATATTCGATTGAGGTTTGAATGATTGAATGGCATGAATCCTGATCAAATTCCTGTTGTTTCTGCTTTAACCTAGAATGAGAATATCTGCCTAGTTTGATAGAGCATCCTTGATTGAAGGTAGGGAGTTGGTGACTTTAGTCGAGGAGCCAACTCACTATTCTGTACCGGATTTACTCCGGTAGTGGAGGTTTTGGTTGTTAAGGCCTCAATCTGTTTACTCCGGTGGAGGTTAGTCGCCCGCTAGAGACTCAGATTGACAGGGTCTGAAGACCTTTAGTCGAGACTTCAGGCTGTTTAAGAACCTTCCGCAGTATAACTATCATAGAGACTGAACTTGGTAATTACAATCCGGCTTAACTGCAGTCTAGGGGGAACCATATCCGGGTGACCTCTCTTAACCTGAATACAACAATTACTTGCTTTGTTAGTTTGTTAGTTTAGACTTGCATTAAAGTTTCATTGCTAGATAACAAGAATTCACCGAGTAGTCATCAAATCTAGGACCCGGGTTGATATTAAAACCCAAACCCGCTATACTACGCTTTAGGAAGTGGTTTCACTTGGCCAATTCCTAGGGTGACAGTAGAAGTGAGTCAGTACCATCGGCTGCCAATGGATTTTGCTGGGAATGACGATCCAAGGCCAGGAAAGAGATCTCGAGTCAATTCCTTATAGCAGAGGCTGAGAAGGCATCCTCCTGCAAAGTGGATTACCTTCGAATCGTATTTGCCTCTGTAATATTGGCTTCTAATTGAATGTTGCTTTTTTTCCATTGAAAGTGATTTCAGAGAGGGAATTATATTTTCCATTTTGATTATCTTTCCTGTGAAATTGAACTATGGAGGCGTTAAGCTGTTGAGATTAATTAGGTTTCTGGGGAGCTCCATGTTTAGGTTTTTTTTTTTTTTTGTGGATAGACTTGTGATAGTTCATTGTGATTTATTAGGGTTGGCAGTGTTATAATTGTGCTTAATGATGTTTTGCAGAGGACAGGCTTCGGTGAAGCTGTGATCTTTTGCCCATTAATCCGGCAATGGCAGATTCAGGAGAATCTCAACAGCCTGAACAAAGTATTGATGCTCACTCTTGAACCGTAGTTTCTGCTTTGATTTGCTTTGTTCGTATTTTCTTGGGTTCTTATGATACATCTTTCCGCCTTCTGTTGTTCTGCAGTATGCAGCTTTTTCAGAAAGCCAACTAAGGGGAAGAACATCAGGAAGAGAATAGTAGAAGACGATGATGCCGAGGATCCAAAAACCGACAGCTCTTTCTTAAACAATCAGAAGAAGGTGTCAAAGTCTGATAACAAGCTATACTTCTCGACAGGACCTTCCAAGAGCTCAAAGCCATCTGATTCCAACTCGGACAACAATGAGAAATCCATCTTTCAGTTTCAGTCTTCAAAGGAAATTCAGGTACAAAATGACAGTAGGGCAACATCAACTCTGGAAACCGAGACAGACTTTGGAAGAGATGCAAGGGCAATACGTGAAAGAGCTCTTAAGAAAGCAGAGGAGGATCTGAAGGGTAACAAACAGATTTCTTCAGGCGGCAATGAGAAGCTATACAAAGGAATTCATGGGTATACAGATCACAAAGCTGGATTTAGAAGAGAGCTAACAATCGCAAGTGAGAAAGCTGGTGGATCACATGGGCCACTTAGGGCATCTGCACACATCAGGGTCTCAGCAAGGTTTGATTATCAGCCGGATATATGTAAAGATTACAAAGAGACCGGTTACTGTGGTTATGGAGATTCTTGCAAGTTTATGCATGATCGAGGGGATTACAAGTCTGGATGGCAAATGGAGAATGAGTGGGATGAGGCAGAGAAGGCAAGGAAGAGGAAATTAGCTATGGGTGCGTTGGCCAAGGAGGAAGGTGAATTTGATGAAGCCAATGATGATGACGACGATGATGACGAGGATGCGCTGCCATTTGCATGTTTCATTTGTAGGGAGCCTTTTGAAGATCCTGTTGTGACCAAGTGCAAGCATTACTTCTGTGAACATTGTGCTCTAAAGGTACCTACCTACTCATCTCCCGAAATTTAGAATCATGATCATCAATTCTTTTGCCAAGTTCTATGTTTAGCTTGCAATTCTGTAACGTGAGTAACATTCACTTATTGTGTTTTCTTCTGTCTTTTTCTTGCAGCATCATTCCAAGAACAAGAAATGCTTAGTCTGCAACAAGCCGACGCTGGGTATTTTCAACACTGCTCATGAAATACGCAAGAGGATGGCAGAGGCGAACAAATGATCATGCTGGCTTGCTGCAGATGCTGTATCGGCTGATCACTTTTTGAGTCCCTGACACGGGCTGTTGCATCTTCCCGGCTCATGACACTTCTAGCAATTTCATTTTAAGAGAGTTATTAGTGATCTAGTATGACACCTTCACATTGCGAGTATACCATGTAATCAAAAAGTTGATCTGCAGGCTTCTGGAGTCCTGATTTGCTTGTATTTCGTAGACAGTTCTTTTCATGTCTACACTGATACGATTGCGAATTTCATCCTCCAATTAAATTTCAACCAAATAGGTGCATGAAAGATCTTAAGGGGTTGTTTGGATTAGGAAATGTGGGTAGGGATTTTGTCACAATTTCTTGTCATTAGGGATTTTGTCACAATTCTTTGTTTGAATAGGAAAATGAAAATGAGGGATTTGAGTCACTAGGAATTTCGAAAATCCTATCATTAGAGAATTTAAAATAGCTGATGGACCTCAGATTTTTTGAAATCTCTTGCCTATTTTTTTCCAACCTTCCTAATTTATCCCTCCTTATTTTTTGGTATTACTTTCTTACCCTCACTCTTTATTCAACGACCCACCACTTCCAATTGTCTAGAACCAGAAGTTTGCACAGGCCTACCATACTTTGTGCTTTAATAAACTGTTAATATTGGGGGTCGTGTAGATTCGAACACACGACCACTTGGTCAAACCAGCTCTGATACCATGTCAAAACCAGTTGCTCCCAATAACTCGAGTTGTTGGTCTGTTGGATCTTATACCACTCTCTAACACCAATCTCTCTTTCCCATCTACATCTCTTTCTTCCCTCCCGATACGAGAAGCTGCAAGCAGAGTTTCAACCTCACATCATTGGCGACTGTAGCGGAGATAAACCTAGCGACGTCGGCAACTACAGCGAAGTTTTACCAGCTCCGATCTACACCGACGTTGACGGTCGTCTTGAAGTCCGTCCAATCTCCATTTTCGATCTCGCCAGCTTTGCGTGGGATTTGTGCTTCGGACTCAACCAATTGAAGCTTGGAATCGGTTTAGGACTGATTTGGTCTCAGAGATGTGGCAAACTCGACTTGCTAGATTTCGAGCTTCGTCTTGAGTTTGATTCATTGTTGTTTGGCTGTATTCATTAAATATTGAGGACTTGTTCAGTTGTAATGGTTAATACATGTTCAGTTGTAATTCAAGGTAGTTGTTTTGACAAGTAGACAAAATTGGGATCCCCTCTTTGCCCCTCCTTTTTTGTGTTAGTGTTTTCACTTTTGAAATATTACTACTACTCAGTTTTGGATTGTGAAAGAAGTTGAAAGTTTTAGATGAATCCCATGAATTTATCTGAATATTGGATCATGGCATAATAGCTTTTCTGTGGTTTTAAACTTGTTGCTTAATTTGAATGGAGGCTGTGTTCGGCGCAGTTGGGTTGTTATTTAATGAATGCCTATTTGGTCGCAGACTCGCAGTGTTTGATCCGTCTATGGACCAACTTTTGCTTTTTGTCAGTGATTCTCATGGCTAGTAGTAGTCTCAATGATTGATTTTTGCTTTGCTGGGTGCAGACCTGTTAGTATGAGCAGCAAGTTCCTCTCGACATGATCGAAACAGAAATAGGGACTTATCTAAGCTCGTACCAAGTACTAAGTATATTGTTTGCTGGCTTTAGTTGGGCATTAAGAAACACCTAGGTAAGCCACAAGGATAAGCTCATGCACACGCAGGGTAAGATATGTATGCCAATTGCAAAACCCTATAAGCAGTGATCATTTGTTTCCCTCCTTTTCAATGTCCGTTTAAGATGCCTGCTTTATTGTAGTCTAGTTGAAGCTGATATTGATTTAGTTGTTTATCTTGTTTCCATTTGTAATGAATACAATGTTCTATTCATAGATTGGTTGTATTATGTGTGTTTAATGGTACTTATCTATAGCAGTACGAAACTAGAGTTGTTTATATTGTTCTCTTTGTACTTATCTAGGCTAAGACATGGATATCCTCTTTTGTATTGTTCTGTTTTGCAGCATGGGAAAGTGAAAGCAATGTGATGAAGATGTGGATGGTGCTTGCTCTAAGAAATATACGTACTGGAAAGAGGAACTAGGAAAGCCATTTGTTGACTGTATTCTGGAGCTAGTAGAGAAGGGGCAGATCATTGACGCCAACTGCAAGAATGGGGCTTATAACCAGTTAAAGAAACTGTTGCAGGAAAGAGTGTCGGGATGCAGGGTCAAGGCATATCCTAACATTGAAGGCAGGTTCAAAAAACTGAAAAAGAGATGGCATGCAATAACATTTATGAGGAAACAAAGTGGTTGGGGATGGGACGAGGTCAATAAATGCATTGTATGTCCCGAGGGATCTTGGGATGATTTTGCGAACGTAAATGATGACTTGATATATACACGTGTTTTTGTCCATCATTCCTATACCGTTTGAATCTCATCTCTCGTGTTTTAGGCCGATTTCACGCTAGGTTGTTCTTGTTTGTGATATTTCAGGTCTTAGCACGTGAAGGAAGGTTTGGGCATGAGTTCTGGGCAGATTGGATGAAGTTAGAACGTGGACGAAAAGCTGGGGAAACCACAAGGCCAGACCTAAATGCCACACGGCAGTGTGACGTGGCCGTGTGGAACCCCTTTGCGCGGGCAAGCCACACTGGTCGTGTAAAGGATCCTTCGTGGCCCTGTGGAATTCCCAGGGAGCTCACACGGACAGGCCATAATTTCACACGGCCGTGCGGTTCTGGTCGTGCAGCGTACATGAAGTCAGGTTTGTCACATTCACTTCGTCTAAATTTCTTCCATGTCCCTTAGCCACAATGGAGTTTGAGTTTCGCCCTGATCTTTGTATAGTGGTGGGGTGGTTTATACCCTTGCTCCATTAATGGTTATCAGCTGCTTTTACTAAGAACTAGTTGCTTGAAGTTTTCATTTGGTTGTTCAGAGAAATGGTTCATGCACTATGCTGGGTGCATTTAGGGCTTTACCATCTAGATTTCGATAGTTTGTTGATTTCAAATTGTTAGCTAAACGGTTCCTTCTTGTTCGATAGACTTTTGTTAGCTTCCTTGAACAAAAATGGCAGAAGAGGAAGAGAAAGAAGGGGAAGAGACATGAGAGAAGAAGAAGAAGAAGAAGAAGAAGAAGGCAGCTCAGACAGTCAGAAGCAGGAGCAGAGTGGGGAAGGCATAGTTTCCTTGCGGCTAGGGGCTCCAATCCTGGTAGTAGTTTTCATATAGGTAAAAATATATATTAGTGATAGACTAGGTGATTTAAATTAGAATACTAAGATTATTAGTACACATGTTTTCCATTAGTGTACGTACGACTAATTTGTTATTGTGTTTTCAACACAAGTTTAATAGTAAAAATTTATTCTTTTCCCCAATTATTTTCAAAATAACAATTGAACCTAATTACAAGCTACCCTTATTCCCTCCATTCTATCATATCCATTGGTTTATTTGCTTCTCAAAGTTATTGATTTTACCGATTGCAACTGCAAGTGTTGAAATAACATTTTCAGTTTTGGTATACTTTAAGAACATGTTTCGAAATTGAATAAGCGATTAGTTCGTGAATGATTGTATAGTAAGATAGAGATATTTGTTGAGCCCTGTAGACACCAAGTTTTACAACTTTTCCAGAATATGAAAACACGTCGTAAACACCATGTTTCTTACTAAGAATAGGGCTAGAGTAGGACCGATCTTGATTGTGAAACTTCCTCTTTTGAGCCTCATTCGAAACCTCCTCCAAACGAGCCATTTGAAAAGCTTGGCCGAGAGTTTGAGGCTGCACCAGTGTTACCACCGGTCGAAGTTCCTCCTCGATACCACTAATGAAGCTGGAAATGAAGTAATCCTCTGTAAAAGCAGGATTGTAGCTAAGCATCAATGAATAAAGTTGATTGAACTTTTCACCAACAATGCTCCTGTCGGTTTGAGTTTGTTGAATTCACCAACAACACCCCCCATAGTGAAATCCTCAAACCGATTGCACAAGGCTTAAACGAATTCACCCCACACATAGATGCACCTACCAGAAGACCACCCCTTGAACCAAATATCATCTCTTAGTTCAAAATAAACCATTGATAATTTAACCTTCCTATTATCGGGTATGTGGTACACCTCAAAGAGCTTCTCACATTTTCGTACCCAATCCCCTGGTTTATCGCCATTGAAAGAGGGGAAATCTAACCTAGTAATTTGGTAGTGGAAATTACCTCGATGTTCATCTTCACGGTCATCCTGTACACGACTACGAGATGGAAGTGGAAGCCTTATAACTTCGTTCCGATCATACTAAAAGGGACCGCAATCGCCGTTAGGAGCAGCTAGTGGAAGAATGATGCCCTCCGGAACTCGATGTGTTCTAAACCTAGTCCATGGAGCTCCATAGGCTCCACGCCTCTATTCGGGAGCAGCAACAAGCCTCGATCGACATTTTGATCCATCAGCTGCAATCTGACGTCCTCAGCAGCGGCATGGTGTCCTTTTTGTCTTAACTCAGTGAGCAAGTCTGTGAATTGTCCATTCAATGTTCCAATTTGCTCCTCAAATCCGTCCAGACGAGTTTCTACTGCTCCAGATTGCGTCAAAATCGTCGCCAATTGTTGCGTATGGCCATCAGCTCGAGTGGCCAGAGCTAGGAGTCGCTGCTCCTTCACCGTGGTCGCGGATTTCTGTCAGTTGCGTCATGTTCGTTTGGCTGCGACCACCAATTTCCTCCAGTTGTGCATTGAAAGACGCCAAGCGGTCCTTCAATTTCGTCGTATGAGTCAAAACTTCGGCGACGCATTCTTTCATGGAAACCATACGCGCAGTCTTCGTCATTGCCGATAACGGCTCTGATACCACATTGTAACACTCTACATCTTATCTCAGTGAAGTCACTTGAGAAATGGAAGAATGATAAGGAACAGCGATGGATCCAGGACATAGCAGAGAACTGGGCCGCATTTGAATAGAATATTGGATATCATAAACAAAAAAAACTTTAGTTTTCATTCAATACAATGCCAATTGTACTAGGAGGTCTTTTAATTTGGAAAATCCATCAGTCATAGGATCTCCATCCATACCAACAGTATACTCTCTTTCAAAGAAAATAGCTAGGCAATCAACGAGAAATCCATCGGTCATTTTGTTGCGCAAATTAGTTTTTTTAAGAGAGGTATAAGATCCATAATAACATTTTCTCAACAACTCGAGTTATTGGGACTAACTAATTTATGACATGGTATCAGAGCTGATTTGACCAAGTTATTGTGTGTTCGAATATCCACGACCTGCAATATTAACAGTTGATAAAAGCATGAGGTATGGTGGCCCTATGCAAACTTCAAACTCATGAGTTGGCTTTCGTTTGAGGGGGCGTGTAAGATAGTGGTATAAGATCCATAATAACCTTCTCCCAACAACTCGAGTTATTGGGACCAACTGGTTTATGACAGTTTTCACATATTTCATTGCTGAAAATGTTCTCTCCATGGTAACCGTTGAAATAGGCAAGGTCAACACAAGACAAATCAACCGACAAATTAATCTGTATTGTGTCTCCAACCCTGTTTCTGACAGCTTCTCTAGTAATTTTGTAAGAGAGTAAACTTCCTATTCCTCACTAGAAACCACATGAGTGGCAATAATATCATAGCTCATTCTTCAAAGAATGCATCTCATGCTCTTCAAAGTCTCGAAGCAAAACTCTTGAAAAAGTTTGTAAATATCTTCTTCATCAAAAGACCGGAAAAACTGTTAGGATCTAGTGCACCACTCAACTCAAGTAATCTAAATGATGACTCCGTAAAATATTTTCTTAATCAAAAGACTGAAAAGAAAACCAGAGCCCGACGGACTGGTGGAGGAATTCATTTTGGATCCATTCGTCTCCTTGTTTTTATTTTGGGGGGATTGGGATTTTTTTTTATAGTTTTGACAGGGAAGGGTGAACTTAGTTTAGAGGGATTTTTAATTTCAATGAAAATTTATACTTAGTCTTTTACGTTTTAGACTTTTAGATTTTATTGTTAATAGCATTTTGTAACCCTCTAGTACTATTGTAAATTAACAAACATACCCTTCCACTAAATTTTTGCACAAACATACCCTTCTAATGTTAAAATGTAACGAGTTTACCCTTCATCCAATTATCTATGAAGTGGTCATTAAAGAAGCTATGAAATGACTCAATTGCCCCTCATTTACTCTTAAACATTAGTTTTAAATATTGTGTCTCAAATTAATTAATTAAAAAAAATTAAACCCTAAACTAATTCATACCCACTCGACGGAAACCGTCCGTCTCCCCCTGCCGATTATGTTAGAGCCCATGAGGGCCTCGTACATATATATATATTGTGGGCCTTAAGCCCATGCATCCCATGCATGTAAGGGCCAACGTGCGTAGGCTAGGGCTAGGGTTAGGTTACATTAACTTCACCTTTGCCTTCTCCCTCTGTACCGAGATATATATATGTACAATGTATGGTGAAGCTAGGGTAAGATAATAAGATCAGTAGCGAGAGAGTCTTCAAGCTCTCCTCACCCGTGGACTAGTCCTGATACATCAGGGATACCACGTAAATCTGTTGTTCCGTTCTTATTTCGTTCAATATGTCTAACATGGTATCAGAGCCATCGTCCGGCGATTCTGATCACCTCAGTATTCGTCTCGATTCAAAGAACTATGCTGTCTGGGAATTTCAATTCCGTATTTTTGTTGAAGGCAAGGGTCTATTGTCGATCCTTGATGGTACGTCGAAGAAGCCTACCGTTCCTCCTGCTACCGAGCAGGCTCTTGAACGCTGGACGCAGAATAATGCTCGCGTGAAGACGTGGATCCTGGGTTCCGTGGATCCCTCGATCCTCCTTGGGCTCCGCTTGTTCTCGACTGCTCATGAGATGTGGTCTCATCTCGCTGTGACCTACACTATCCGCAACACCGCCCGCCAGTTCGCTCTTGAAACTGAACTCGCCGCGCTGAAGCAAGGAGATCGTGATGTATCTGCCTACTACAACGAATCCGTTCATCTGTGGACTGAAGAAGATCTTCTTCTCGCATCTCTTAGTCCCGCGCAGGTCACCGCCGATGTGCGCGCCGATCGCACTCGCTCTCGCCTAATGCGCTTCCTCATGAAACTCCGTCCGGAGTTCGAATCTGTAAGGTCCTCTCTTCTCAATCAAGAAAATATTCAGTTTGATGGCGTCTTGGGTAGATTACTGCAGGAGGAGACGCGTCTCCGAGCCCAAGAACAGATTGATGCTCGCCCGGTTGCTGGCGAGACTGTCTTCTCCGTGGAGCGCACCTCTGACTTCGACGCTTCAGCCTATGCAGCGCAGCGGGCACAGTTCCAGCGTCGACCAGCCTCCGAGCTTACCTGCATTTTTTGTGACGAGAAGGGTCACGTGCAAAAGCACTGCCGCAAACACAACTTCTGTGTGTACTGTAAACGCACAGGTCACATAATTAGTGACTGCCGCACCTTGAAGAATCGCACCATGTATGCAGCTGCTGGAAACCCAGGTGCTGGTCGCCATGACTCTACTCCTCCACCTCGGGCTGCTTCATCCGGACCTCATGCGTTTGCTGTCCAATCCGCCAGTGCCGCTAGCTCGTCATTGTCGGCTGAAATTGTTGACAAGATGATCAATTCTGCCATTCAGAAATCCATGCCTGCGGCGATCAACTCTGCATTTGCAGCCCTTCAAGTCTCAGGTAAAGCTAAACCGTGGTTACTAGACTCTGCTTGTTTCAATCACATGACTAGTGATTCCACTTCGTTGCATCAATTGAAACCGGTTAAGAACTTGCAGCTTCAAGTGGCAAACGGTTCTCACCTCCCCGTTGCTGGCATGGGTTCCTTGGCTAATGCTCATGTTCAGCTTAATAATGTTCTCCATGTTCCTAAATTATATCCTAATTTGGCTTCGGTAGGCCAGCTTACTGATGAGAACTGTTCGGTTTTGTTCGCACCGACCGGGTGCTTTGTGCAGGATCTGACGACGGGGAGGCTGATCGGAAGGGGGAATAAATGCGGCCGAACTTTTACCTTGGACAGGTTGTCGAGTCGAGAGTCTTCTTCTGCTTTTCGGCCTATTGTCAATGCTCGGGTGTCTAGTGATCTCGGTTTTCCTAGTGTCTCGCCCGTCATTTTGTCTGATGAGTCGAATAGTCAGTGGTTTTTATGGCATCGTCGGTTAGGCCATCCCAACTCTAATCGGTTACAACATATGTTTCAACAGAAGTTACTTGGTGATAAAACAGTTTTTCCTTCCACTTCTCTATCTTGTTCTGGGTGTGTTGAGGCAAAGGCCAAAAGCATTTCATTCCCATCTAGTACAACAGTTATTTCTGATCCATTTCATCTCATTCATACAGACCTCTGGGGCCCTGCTCCTTTTACCTCTCGAAATGGATATAAATATTTTGCTTTGTTCATCGATCATGCTACTCGTTATACTTGGGTTTATTTTCTTCACTTAAAATCCGAGTTGTATGATGTTGCTGTTGAATTTCTCACCATGATTCGTACTCAGTTTGGGAGGAATGTCAAAATGCTCCATTCAGATCCTAGAGGAGAGTTTAGCTCAACACCATTACTTGCTTATTACAAATCCCATGGAATTCTTTATCAAAAATCCTGCCCGAGTGTCTCGCAACAGAATGGCGTTGTTGAGCGAAAAAATCGCCATTCTGTTGAGCTTACTAGAGCTCTTTTACTTGCCTCCTCCGTTCCCTCTCAGTTCTGGCCTGAAGCAGTGGCTACTGCTATTCGTCTTATCAATTACCAAGTAACACCCATTCTCAAAAATGTTAGTCCCTATTATGCTCTTCGTTCCTTCCATCCTCCTTATGCGCGCCTTCGCGTATTTGGCTGTCTCTGTTTCGTCCTTCTTCCTCGTCGTGAGCGTGATAAACTGTCTTCTAAAACGTCTCGTTGTGTGTTCCTGGGGTATAGTGACATCCACAAAGGGTATTTGTGTTATGATCCTTCTGCTGATCGTATTCGTATCTCGTGTCATGTTGTGTTCTTTGAAAATGTCATGTACTATGAGTCCTTGTCTAGTTCCTCCGATCCTCCATTGTTTTCGTCGACTCGGCTCCCTGTCTTTGAAGATGATGGTGAACAGGATGAAGAACCCCCTCCCGAGACTCCTCCCGAGACACCTCCTGGTTCTCCCGACTCGCCCGGTTCCTCCTCTAGCTCGTCGTCCGACTACTCCGTGGCGTCTCCTGACGTCGCATCCTTCAGCTCGGCCGAGAGCTCCCCACCACCTGCAGCTGTTCGAAGGTCCACTCGGGCCAATTTTGGAAAGCCACCTGCTAGGCTTGGTGAATTTTATGCTCACAGTGTCACTCCCATTACTATTCTGACCCGCTATTCACACGCAAAGAATGATCCTCGGTGGCAAGCTGCCATGGGTGAGGAGTTTTATGCTCTTGATCAGAACCATACTTGGTCAATTGTTGATTGTCCTCCTCCTTCCACTCCCGTGGTAGGTTGTCGTTGGGTTTACATGGTGAAATATCATCCTGACGGCAGTTTGGAGCGGTTTCGGGCACGTTTGGTTGCACAGGGATTCACACAGGAATATGGCATCGAATTTGAGGAGACTTTTGCTCCAGTGGCTAAGATGCCCACTGTTCGTACTCTTCTCGCTGTTGCTGCCGTTCGTAATTGGCCGTTGTTTCAGTTTGATATCAAGAATGCCTCGCTTCATGGTGACTTGAAGGAGGTTGTGTATATGGAGATTCCGCCTGGGCATCCTGATAGTTCTCCGGGCAAGGTATGCTTACTTCATCGTTCTCTGTACGGTCTCAAACAGGCTCCCCGAGCCTGGTTTGAGAAATTTCAGCAGACTATTTTGGGTTTTGGCTTTCACCAGAGTCGTAATGATCCGTCCCTCTTCACTCGTACTACTCCTCGTGGCCGTGTTGTTCTTTTGATATACGTCGATGACATGATTTTCACTGGCGATGATCTGGATGGTATCTCCAAGCTGAAGGCTGATCTCCATGCTCATTTTCACCTCAAGGAACTCGGCCACTTGTCTTATTTTTTGGGCATTGAAGTACATCGTACTGATCGTGGTATTCTCTTGTCTCAGCATAAATACATTAATGATCTTCTTGATGATCACCGGTTTGCAGACTGTCTTCCTGTTCGCACTCCTATTGAGCTTAACTTGAAGCTTGGGAAGGATTCTGGCACTCCGTTAGCAGATGGTCGCATCTATCGCAGTATTGTTGGCAGTCTCATTTACTTGGTTGCTACTCGACCCGACATCGCCTATGCTGTACAGGTTGTAAGTCAGTTCATGGCTGCCCCTCGCACTGACCATTTGGCTGCCGTCCACCGTATTCTTCGATATCTTCAAGGGACTCGAGATGTTGGCCTTTTTCTTCCTTCGACTGGTGATTTTCAGTTACGAGCCTATTCTGATTCCGACTATGCGGGTTGTATTGATACCCGTCGCTCTACGACGGGCTGGTGTATCCAATTTGGCTCAGCTTTTATTTCATGGCGATGCAAGAAGCAAGACAAGGTTTCCAAATCGTCTACCGAGGCGGAATGTCGAGCTATGTCTGATTGTGGTTCAGAGATGGAGTGGTTGTCCCGATTACTTGGTGATCTTGGTGTAGCTATTCCTACTCCGATGGTTCTTCATGTCGACAATACGAGCGCCATCCAGATCGCGGTTAATCCGGTGCTTCATAATCGTACCAAGCATATCGAGGTTCACGTTCACTATATTCGTGATCTTGTTGGTGCTGGTACTATTCGGATGCGCTATATTCCCACCGAAGAACAGGTCGCTGATCTACTTACCAAGTCCTTCACCACAAGTCGTCACTGGTTCCTATCTGGCAAATTGATGCTTCGAGACCAGCATCAATTTGGGGGAGGCTGTTAGAGCCCACGAGGGCCTCGTACATATATATATATATATTGTGGGCCTTAAGCCCATGCATCCTATGCGTGTAAGGGCCGACGTGCGTAGGCTAGGGCTAGGGTTAGGTTACATTAACTTCACCTTTGCCTTCTCCCTCTGTACCGAGATATATATATGTACAATGTATGGTGAAGCTAGGGTAAGATAATAAAATCAGTAGCGGGAGAGTCTTCAAGCTCTCCTCACCCGTGGACTAGTCCTGATACATCAGGGATACCACGTAAATCTGTTGTTCCGTTCTTATTTCGTTCAATATGTCTAACAGATTATTCCATGCGGTGGCGTCTACTCCCGGCATCTCCTGTCGTTTCTTCCTCTTTTTGATACTTGTGCAAGTTTCTTCTTCCTCTTGTATTGCTGGTTGATGGCCTGGTGAGGTTTGATTGCAGAGCTAAAGGCTAACGGGATTGGAAGATATAGACAAGGGTGTGGCGTCAATCTCACCAACCTAATCTTCCATATGAGTTGTGGGGCGCCGTCGACATCACATTAATTAAATCTGTTAGCGGAAGCCAAAACCAGGGACTAAGATGGTGGTGCTCGACATAGGCGATCGAGGCAACGATGACTAATATTAATATGGTGGCTGTCGAAATAGGCGGCCAAGGCAACGGCTAGGAAAATCGACATTCGATTGGAGGTTCTATTCGAGAAAAAAGACATGGAAGTAAATCGCCGGCGACAGAACGCCGGCTAGCGATACTGACAGCGAGGGAGAAGGGCGTTTCCGAACTCGGGATTCAGGAGTCAGGAGGTCGTCGGCCAGCGAAATCCTCCGGCGTCAGCGAAAACGAAGGAGGGGGACTCAGAGCCGACGGTTACAGTTTCTCTCTAGGCGAAGGATTGAACGCCACCAATGGGGAGACCACCCCACTGCCCAACAATTATTTTATATTGGGTTTTTTTATTGATTTGGGATATAAAATAATTAAAATCAAAATTAGAAGTATTTATGAGTAAGTGAGGGGTAATTGAGTCATTTCACGGGCCCTTTAACGATTACTTAACAGATAATTGGATGAAAGGGTAAACTCGTTACGTTGCATGATTGGTCACTGAAATTATAAAAAACGTTCAAGTTTGGTCACTCGAAATATTTAAATCCATTGGTGGTACTTCAGTTTACTGAAACCGTTCATGTTTGGTCACTCTCCGTCCAACTCCGTTAACTTTTGCTTACGTGGCAGTCAACTCTAAAAATTGACCGTTAAATGTGTGACGTGGCAATTAAAAAATAATAAAAATTTATAAGATCACTTTTTTTTATTTTCCACCTCAATTATAACTATTAAGAAAAATAAAAAAGTCATTTCACCTTCTCCAATCACTGCCTCACCACCACCTCCTTCCCCGGCAGCTACCTCAAAGCCAACCTCCTCACATTCGCTGATACCCAGCAATCCAAAAATTCAAGTACACAATAACCTCAGACCCACTCAACATCAAAGCCTCATGGGTCGTTTGCGATGTCTGCACCTACCGCAGCTTCTTCTGCGACAGCCCGCTCGACAATGCCTCGGCCACCGCCGCATCAATCGACTTCAACGGCTTCGGCCTCTCCGCCCTTTCTTCCACGCAGGGTCAGAGGCCACCAAAGGGAAGATGAATCCGACTTCCGACTTTCGCTCCCCTCGCGATTGAGACGGTCACGACGCACATACAACCTCGATTGCCGATTTGCCGCCGTCCATTACGTTTACCCTTAATTATCTCGTGGGCAAATGAGTGAGCGGCGCTGAGATTTCTCGGGCGAAGGAATGAGCGGTGACCTCTAGGGATTTGAAAGCGTTGGTGGCGATCTCGGGAGCGAAGGAATGAGCGACAGAGTGATCTCACGAGCAAAGGAGTGAGTGGCGATGGGTAGAGATTTGGAAGAGTGGCGGCGATCTTGCCGGAGAAAGAGTGCACGGCGACTGCGAGCAGAGAGGAGAGAGAGAGAGCTGTATCAGAGGGACTTGTTCAGTCTTCACCGGCTAGGGAACGCGGTGACAAGAAGAGAGATCGAGAGTCGCCGGTGGGGGAAAATGTACGGATGGACGACTAAGGCTTGTGAGATTATAAAAAATTAAATTTTTATCTTTTAATAGTTGGAAATTAGGTGGAAAACTTAAGAAATTAAATTTTATTTATTTTATTATTTTTTAATTGTCACGTCACACATTTAACGGTCAACTTTTAGAGTTGACTGCCACGTAAGCAAAAGTTAGCAGAGTTGGACGGAGAGTGACCAAACGTGAACGGTTTCAGTAAACTGAAGTACCACCAATGGATTTAAATATTTCGAGTGACCAAACTTGAACGGTTTTTATAATCTCAGTGACCAATCATGCAATTAACCCGCGAAGGATTGAACGCCACCAATGGGGAGACCACCCACTGCCCAACAATTATTTTATATTGGGATTTTTATTGAATTGGGGCATAAAATAATTAAAATCAAAATTAGAAGTATTTATGAGTAAATGAGAGGTAATTTAGTCATTTCACCGGCCCTTTAACGATTACTTAACAGATAATTGGATGAAAAGGTAAACTTGTTACGTTTTAATATTAGAAGGGTACATTTGTGCAAAATTTTAGTAGAGGGGTATGTTTGTTAATTTAAGATAGTATAGGAGTACAAAATACTATTAACCCTTTTTACAAATGAAAATCATTCGGACTAGAATTTCTACGCTAAATTTAGAGTAGTGGTATGGATATGTTCATCTAGACCATTTTCCTAGTTACACAAAAATTATCCAGGGACGGCGCCAGGAATATTATAGAGCACCTCCATCCATGCAATTGCAAAAGAAATTGCATTTGTGTTTTTTATTGTCAACTCAAATTTTTTGCAATCCACATCACATTCATTTCATTCACCTACATCAATGCAATTAACTTGCAATTGCAAATGTAATTAAATATTATGTTTAAATTATAGAAAATTAAGTAAAACAGAAAAGAAAATAATATAAAGTATAAAATGTCCATTTTTTAGGCTTTTTTGACTTGCATATGGAATTGCATTTGTTGCAAGCTTGCAAATATGCAATTGGTAGCCATATCAATGCAATTGGGTTTGCAATTGCAAACACCTTAGGGGGGAGGATAATTAAGAGGTTTGGCATGGAATGGTGAAAAATAATTTATGATTTCAATAGCAATATTGACTATAATTGTTGAGATAAACTTATCGAATTTTATGTTGATTGACTAGTCTCAACTTTAAGTAAACCACATAAATCGTCATGTCACTCACTTTTCAAACAATCTTTCGATTTTTATTGTAAGAGCTAAATGATAAATGTGATTATGAAGTAATTCTAAAAAAGAAAACATTTCGGAAAATTTTGCAAATAAATTCTTGTTGTCTAAAGAAAACATCTAAACAGGCGAAAAGAAATAACCAGTCGATAAACTCAAGGAAACTACTTATTTTATGAGCCAATAATTAACATATCTGAATTGTAAATATATAAATTCACTTGATGTTTGTCTCAAATGGATGTTTACGTTTGATAAGATAAGATAACGAAATGAGTTAGAATGGTATTATTATCAAATTGTCAAACAATGATATTATGAGCAAGTAACTATCATTACCAAATAAGAATGAAAATCAAATTAATATATATAAATCTGAAGTTAGGTTACTGTTACCTAATAATTTACAATTTGATACCCCAAATTTAATTAAATCACAACTTAGTCACTATAATTTACATTTGACATATTTTAAGGTAAAATAATTGAAAAAACAAATCTGAAGTGAGGTTAGTGTTACCTAATAATTTACAATTTGATACCCCAAATTTAATTAAAGTAAACCACGTAAATCGTCATGTCACTCACTTTTCAAACAATCTTTCGATTTTTATTGTAAGAGCTAAATGATAAATGTGATTATGAAATGATTCTAAAAAAGAAAACATTTCGGAAAATTTTGCAAATAAATTCTTGTTGTCTAAAGAAAACACCTAAACTGGCGAAAAGAATAACCAGTTGATAAACTCAAGGAAACTACTTATTTTATAAGCCAATATTTAACATATCTGAATCTATATACAATATTATGGCAATTCAAAAGCAATCTCTTGTCACATAAGCACTTGGAAGATCCACAATTTGCCAAGTTGAACAACTTTTTACAAAAAGAAAATTAGTTATTAATATATTTATGGAGCTACCTCTCTCTTCTTTAATATTTTCATTTCTTTTATCCAATTATTCTTTTTTATTTATCCATTTTTCTTTAATAATAAGTTACATGTTGATAAACTTAACCAAACATACGTAAATGATTTTGTCAACTAAAAAAAATCTAAAAAAAACAGAAAGTGACATATATCACATTTGTTTAAATAAAAATATCTAATTAAACCTTATGAAGTAAATTTTTTACTCATTTTTACTAAATTGAATGATAAGCTACATTTTGATGGAAAAATTAAACAAACATACACATAAAAAATAATGTTTTTATCAATTAAACAATATATATATGAAAAGTGAGAAAATAAATATTTGACATTCAATTACCTTTGAAAGATAAAATATATTACTTTATATTTTTATATTTTGTTGCAATGAAACACTCTCTTATTCCTAAAGTATATGTCTACAAATAAAACAAGTATTATTTAGAAAAATGTCAAAGTATAATCTTGATCGAGTAGTTACAATTACTTATTTAAAAAAAACTTCTTATTCATTCAGATCATGTTCTACCTTAAACTTCTCAAATAAAGAGAAATCGTGTGTGCAATAATTTTATAATGTGTCATAAGTTCAAATTAATAATATTTGCTCTATATCATGTTGATTGAGCAAACTCTATTGAGATCTTAAGTCATATGCTAAGAAATTTTCTTTTAGACTTGGAGTTATCGTAGACGATTATAAATCAAAACTTTCAAAATGACTTAAGTCTTATTGTTGACGAACTTTGACTTTATACCCTAGGATGAGACACAAGATTCTTTGAAAAATAACATATGTGAAAGTTAGATAAACCTTTATTGAGAATCTACTATAAACATCACGTTTTATCAACTACTAACCTAGGCATTTACCAAATAAAGATTGGCAATTTTTAGTAAGATAGTCTATTGAGATAAACATATTTATCCAACAATCAAGTATCTTTATCCAATAATCTCAACTCTCAAAATTGGTTGTCAATTTGTCCAAACTCGAGAAACACGAATTGATATATGTTGTATAAGATAATAAGTTAATGCAAATAATCAAATAAAATCCACCGACATTGTTCAAATGATAAGATATTTTAAATGCACTTTCAATATGTGTGTATTGTAGACAATCTTTATCAATTATTAATATATAAGTGATAAAATATTTGAAAATTACATATTCAACGACCATGTTAAGTCTAAATTCCTCGATAGTGTGTGTGAGGGTCTTAGATTGAGATTCTAAGCCAACATATAAAAAATGACCACAGGTTGAGCTTTAGTCTAAACTTCAAGAATTAACAATTGATACATATTGTATAATATACTAAATTTAAGTGTCTTGATAATAAAAAAAATTAACATCCAAAATGGAAATGAGTTGAGATTAGAGAATTTAGTCATCGTGAGAGCTACGGTGTGTGTCAAGTTTCAATATGAATGAATAAAATCCAATAATAAAGTATCTTTACTATGAAATTCTCACTAAAAAGTCATAATATTTACAACATTGGTCGAGAGTTTGCCCAAACTCGAGGATCATGCACTACAACAAATTCGGCCTATTAGGACAAATTTTTTTTTGTCATTTTACTTTTGTCATAATAGGTACTATAATATGACAAAAATTGTAAATATCACATTTGGTACTCCTAATGTGACAAAATATCAGTTTGTCAGAATACTTTGTCAGTTAAAGTTTATAAAGTGACCAAGTTTGTGTGTCACTATATGGTTCGTCAAAATAGGTAACCCACATCGGGTTGTAAGAGACATAAAGTGACAAAATGTGATCGTCAAAGTATAGTTTGTCATATTATGTCTTGATGAATTGTTTAAACGACAAATTGGTTTGTCACAATAGAGCACCATAAGCCCTCGCCGATCTGACGAAATGTAATGTTGGTCTTAATATAGTGGTCTCGATATGTGACAGTGGCATTTTGTCATACTTGGTGTTTTTAGTCTGCAACCTCTTTCCCTCGATCGGGAGAACAATTATACTCCTTTTTCCTTGTCTCTTGAAATTGCGCAGTCTATCAAAATCCAAAGGAACCCGACATCAAAATCCTTTACCCGTCCTCCACCAATCGGGCCGGCCACTCTCCGGCGGGATTTCCGTCATCGTAGCTGTTCCACCAATCTCCCCGTCACCACCGCAGTTCAAAGATCCCCTATCTCCGAAACCTAAATTTATTTACGGATTGGAGAGCAAACTCGCTGGTCTTTCTCCCTCCCTCGTTTCCCATAGCAAACTCGCTGGTCTCAGAAATAGGTAAGCGTCGTCCTTCTCTCCCGTGGCTACTATGTAATGCTAATTTAGCTTAAGACTATTCTGGTGGGTTATCTATCTGAATGAGCTCTTGTGTTTCCTTGTCATTGACTCGGTGGCAGGTGCTGCTTATATCTTCGATCCTTCAACCATCCAGTTGTGCTAATTAGAATAGAGAGAAGGCGGCCCAAGCACTAAGCAAAGGTAAGATTCGATTAATGTCTTCAATTTTTCTGACATTCAGAGAAATTGTGTAAGTCAACTGGTTCCTAATGGTTTGTCATATACCCTCTGCAGATCCTTTTCTAGTTCATCTCACGCTGTGCTTCCTTCTTGACCAACTGCCTATAAAGGGAAGGTCAGTTTCTTTACGCACAGATTGAATGAGTATAAATTGGATTAAGCTTAAGGATAGGTTTTGTGATGAATATCAAAAGGGGGTTTCTGAGTTCATAGGGGCTGCCAGCAAACATGTTGATACGCTAGGTAGAACTAGATGCCCTTGTAAAAGGTGCAATAATCGAAACTTCAAGAAGTTGGAGATTGTCGCAGATGATATAACCAGGAATGGCATGGTGGAGACATATACTACATGGATCCATCATGGTGAGTCGTTTGACTTTGGGAGTACTAGACATCATCCTAGGCAACCTACAGTTGCGCCTGAGACTGAGGGTTTAGAGGATGACATGGCTGATATGTTAGGGGATATGCTGCGTGCTTCTTCTGGAAATGCTCCTGTCATTGAGGGGTCAACAACACCTAATTATTCTAATATAACAGACCTCAATGATAAATTGGCTCGGCTAATCCGTGATGCCAATTTGCCATTATACCCTGGATGCAAAGACTTTTCTAGATTATCATTTGTTATGAAATTGCTGAACAATAAACTGGTAACCAATAGTACTGATAAAGCCTTCAACATGAATCTGGACCTAGTCAAGAAAGCTTTACATGTTGGTGAGACGCTTCCTTCTTCCTTCTATGAAGTTAAGCGGTACATGGAAGATCTTGGGTTTGGTTACACCACTATAGATGCATGTCCAAATAATTGTGTACTCTATAGAGGTCCTCTAGAATCTGCCAAGTCATGTCCCAAATGCAATGAGTCTAGATACATACCTGGGAAACAAAATAATGTAGCCCACAAGAAAGCTAGGTATTTCCCACTAAAAGATAGGCTGCAAAGATTGTACATGACTAAGGAGGATGCTAAAGACATGAGGTGGCACAAGGACTTGCGTGTCGATGATGATACGTTAAGGCATCCGGCAGATGGAAAAACTTGGAAACGATTCGATGAGGAACATAATTGGTTTTCAGCAGACCCTAGGAATGTTCGCCTTGCTCTTCTAAGTGATGGGTTCAATCCTTTTGGGAACATGAGCAATAGCTATAGCATGTGGCCTGTCGTGTTAACACCGTACAATCTCCAGCCTTGGAAATGTATGACAGAACCTTATTTTATTCTTGCTGTCCTTATTCCTGGAGAGAAATCGCCCGGTAATAACATACATGTGTACTTAGAGCCCCTAATAGAAATGTTTAGAGAGTTATGGGAGGATGGGGTCAGTACGTATGACGCACACTCAAACGAAACATTTCGTTTACATGCTGCGTTGTTATGGACAATAAACGATTTCCCCGCATATGGCATGCTATCGGGCTGGAGTACGAAGGGGAGATTAGCCTGTCCTGTATGTAATAGTGAGACATGCTATGAACGTTTGGATTTTAGTCATAAAGAGTGTTACATGGGGCATCGAAGATGGCTGCCAAGTGACCATAGGTGGAGAAAAAATCGAAAATTTGATGGGAAGCATGAACTTAGAGGCAAACCAAGAGTGTTGTTTGGGGATCAACTTTTGCAGCAAATAGATAAGGCCTTTCTCTCTGATGTGGTCGTGAATGATTGTGGGAAAAGGAAAAGGGGAAGTTCTGATGATATTCCACATAACTGGAAAATCAAAGCTTCATTTTGGAGTTTGCCATATTGGAAAACTATAGAGTTGAGGCATAATTTAGATGTTATGCATGTTGAAAAAAACATTAGTGAGAATGTGATAGCTACACTACTAAATATCGAGGGTAAGACCAAAGATACAGCCAATGCTAGACGGGATTTGGAAGATATGCGTATTAGGAAAGAGCTACATCTGGTGAGAGACGGTGATAAGTATAAAATGCCTCCCGCTTTATACACCATAAAAACCGCACAACGAAGGCCATTTTGTGACTGGTTGAGGTCGATCAAATTCCCAGATGCTTATGCATCTAATATATCCCGGTGTGTGACTACTGATGGTCGGTCAATCACTGGCATGAAAAGCCATGATCGCCATGTCTTCATTCAACGCCTTCTGCCTGTTGTTGCACAAGGGTTCCTGAGCAAAGAAGTATATAATATATTGTCTCAACTTAGTGAATTCTTTCGTGAGTTGTGTTCAAGAACGATATCGAAGTCCACTGTCAGGAAACTCAGTGATAACATTCCAGTTATACTTTGCAACCTGGAAATGTTGTATCCACCAGCTTTCTTCGTCGTGATGATGCATCTGCCTATTCACCTTCCCCGCGAAATTGAGCTCGAGGGACCGGTGCAGTATCGCTGGATGTACCCAATGGAGAGGTACACCCTAAGTCACGCACATTAATTTTTTTCTCCGACTTTTTATATAACGTAGCTAACTTTGGTATTATGACGTTTTCTTGGTTTTGATTTAACTAGGTTTTTAGGAACTCTTAAATCTTATGTTTCTAATAAGGCCCGTGCCGAGGGATCGATTGCCGAAAGGTATATAGCGAAAGAATGTTCAGATTTCTGTTCTAAATATCTTAAAGGTGTTGAAACCCGAGCAAGTAGGCTAGACAGAAATGATGATGGGTTAGACGATTTGAACTACAAGGGGTTTGATTTGTTCCGCCAGCAAGGTAGATCTATAGGTGCTGCAAACTACGACCCTATAGGGCAGGCTGAGTTCCATAAGATTCAATGGTATGTCTTCACCAATTGTGATGAAATTGAAGAACAATTGAAGTAAGTTCTTCTTCCTTTGTATACTCTAAACCCCATTTATTATTTTTTCATACCTTTTGTTCTTAACAATTGCGGTTACAGTATGCATACGGAACAGAGAATGCTGAATTATCCAAACAGTACCCCAACAACCATTGCTGAAAACTTCCCATATTGGTTTAAAACCTTTGTAAGCCCAAATCCCCCCTTTTTTCTCTTTTCTTAATCACAAGACCACAATCTATTGATTGCAGCTAGCTACCCATCTCAGTCTGTCAACTTTTGGAAGCCCCCTTTTTTTATATTTCCATTTGTTTCTCTTCTCTAACTCACAGCAGCCGTGTATTATGTTTTAGGTGTCTGAACAGTTTTTGGCTGGCACGCTTAAAGAGACTGACCATTTATATGTCCTAGGATTAGGGGCTGATGAACGTATTACTAGATATCCTGGACTCATCATTAACGGGGTTCGATACCAGATAAAAATGGCTGATCAAGGGCATCGAACTCAGAATAGTGGTGTCGTTGTTCGGGCTGACCACAATGGCGAGACTATAGATTATTACGGGGTTCTGGCAGACATTATTAAGCTTCAATATTCTGGAGGGCATCGGGTGTTTGTATTCAAGTGCGAGTGGTTCAATGTGGGGGACAAGAAGAATGAAATAAGGATGGATGGACACTTGACGAGCATAAACATGGATAGAAAATGGTGTACGGAGGACCCATATGTATTGGCCAGTCAGGCTAACCAAGTGTTCTACATTGCAGATATTAAGAATGGTGGTGCATGGCATATCGTCCACAAGGTATGTCCAAGAAGTTTGTACGATGTTCCCGAGAAGGAGGAAGCGGGACATGGGGATCCAGTGTATGAAAATCAGCCATACCAACAAGATGTGGACATTTCTGATTTTAATGTAAGTGAAAGCGACTTAGCGGATTTGAGTCGTGATGACGAGGCACCAACAATCGTTACTGAGCCAGTCATACGAGCCATTGATGGACGAGTTGCAGCAATGGAAGCAAGTGATGAGGAGATAGAGGACGACACTTTAGATGACCATCATTTCACCACGAATGAAACTGAACACCCAGATGGGAATGATCCATCCTTTAGTGACGAGGAAGAAGCATAACAGTACATTAAACCCAGGCGCCCTTTATATGTTTACAGATTATTTTTTTACATAGATATGTACAGATTTTTTGGGGGCCATAGTTGTTTTTGACCAATTTTTTTGGGCCTTAGTTTCATTTTTACAGATTTTTGGGTTGATTATATGAAGAATATTGAATATAGCGTTCAAGTTTTATCGATGTTACTTGAGTCTGAAAATGGGTTTTATGTTTTCGTATATGAACCCAGGCAAAACATAAACCCAGATCGTCTCTGGTTCAATGAATTTTCATGTTTGATTGGGTTTCTGGTGCAGATTTGTAGTGTTTGTGTAGGAGGGAGACTGGGTTTAGTTCAAAAATGGTTTATATTGGCTGTCTTCTGAGCCCAATGATTAAAGGGATCAAAGCGCTTTCATTCTTTTAGTCGGGCCCGTTTTAAATTAGGTAAGCCAAGCCCTTTCCCCTCTTCTTTGTATCTGCCGAAAGGAGAACCCTAGGTCCCTCTTCTTCGAATCTGCCGACAGCCGCTACCTCTCCTATGGCGATTTCTCTCTGAACCTTCCCCGCGAAATTGAGACTCATCATTGCTGTGTAGTGTCTTCTCGTCGTTCTAGTTGTGGGAAGTTGTTTGACAGTCAGGCGCTGGTTTCAGAATCGCCATTCAGGTTTGCCGCGACTTGCATGATTTGATTTCTTCTTCGTTTGCTATGCTCTGTTTGCCGCGACATGCATGATTCGATTTCTTCTCCGTTTGCTATGCTGTGTTTGCCGCGACATGCATGATTCGATTTCTTCTCCGATTTCTTCTTCTTTTGTGATTTGGTATGTGGATTAGGGTTTGGATTTCTAATGATTCCCTCGATTTTCCGATTCTCCGATTTGTTGTGTTTGTCGATTTCTAATGATGCCCTCGATAATCGGCGTTGCACCCTTGACCTCCTCTCCTCTCCTCTCGAGGTCCCTCTGCATACTGTTGGGGTTTCCGATTTGTTGTGTTTGTCGATTTGTTTGTGATTTGGTTTGTCAATTAGGGTTTGTCGATTTGTTTGTGATTTGGTTTGTCGATTAGGGTTTGTCGATTTGTTTGTGTTTATGTTGATGCTCTGTTTATGTTGATGCCCTCGATTCTCGATGTCCCTCATTGCTTGTTGCTCCAGATTAAGGAACACCCATGTTTGCAGCCATAAACTCTTGTACTTGGCAACATTGTATCTTCTGATTTATTGACTGTTGCACTACACTACATCTCTTGTATCTTAGTTTGGGTTGGGATTACTAATTCACCGTTTGAACATTATCCAATTACATGCATCATCTTATTAGCTTTTCCTCTTTCCATCCATATTTCAGTGGGGGTGTATGCTTTCTAGTTTCCAGATTTGATCAAATGTAAACTATTAGTTAGGTCCCATATAATGCTCCTATTAATTTTGATGTTGTTGTGGTTTAGAGGAGTTAAGGCGATTCTTAAGTTTGCATAACAGAGTGCTTATAGACTTTTTAGTCCACTTATTGAAATCTTAAGTTAGGTCCCATATAATGCTCCTTTTTAATTCTCCATACTCACCTGTTCCAAGTATGACTTCTCCATCAATAACACAACAACATCCAACAGTTAAGTAAATCTGCTTTGCCATAGTAATATGTGGATCATATTAGTAAATCTGCTTTGCCATAGTAATATGTGGATCATAGAGGTAAACTCATGATGTCTAAATACATCATCATGCATCCTATGGAACTTGTAAATGTTAGTTTCTAGACACTGGTGCTACAAATCATGTCACTAGTTCATCAAATATTTTTGGTAGATGTACCGCATCCATAATGTTTTCATTACTTTACCTAGTGGTTTCAAAACCACTGCTACACATCCTGAAACTGTGAAGTTAGTATGTGGATTGATGGCTGTGGTTTTGCTTTGTTGGTCTTTGCAATTAATCTTTTTTTGCCTTCAATTGAGGTCAGCACCTACTGTGTGTTGCTTTTTGACCATTAAACCTGCCCCTATGTTGTAGGTATGCCGCCACTGAAGAAGAAGAAGGCTGCTACTGACAAGGCAGTGCCGATCCCGGATTTTTACCGGGCGACAAGATCAGGGAGGGTGCGGCAAGAACCTGCTCGGTCCACCGAATCTGTAAGCGGGGGTAGTAGACGTCGAGCTGGAGCCTCAGTGAATGAGGATACTCAACGCACAGACACTTTGAATCCAGACGAACCCAATGGCAATGATGATTCCGAGGCAGAAGCATCCAATCATGAGACCGGAGAAGGTAGTAATCCAACTGGATTGGAAGCACCTGCGGCTAAAAAGAGGGGACTGTCCAAAGGGTACGAGATAATGAAGAGAACCGGAACTGGAGGAAAGATAGATGGAATCTACGTAATGGAGAATGGGCAGTCATTCGTAGGGCCTAATGAGAGCTTGTTGAAGACAGAGTTGGGCGTCGTTACACGCCTGATGGCCCCGATACGGAAGTACTACTGGTCCAAGTTGACTGAAGCAGACAAGCACCCATTATTCAAGAAGCTAGAGGTAATTTCCGAAAACTCCTAGTTTGGCATGAAGTAGGCTAATCTGGACATTTTTTTGCTGCTGTTTGTTTGTTTTACTTGACTTGGGAAACTTCACTATCTGTTGGTAAATGAAGTATATACTTGTTGTTTATGTAGGATGAATTTGACATAGACACGGCAGGAGCAGATGCAAGGAAGATTATGGAGAAGAGAATGAAGAAGCGGTTCATCAATTACAAGTATGCGATGCACGCTCACTACTAAATTCAACATAGTAAAAATTCAACAACACTCAAATCATTCACATAACATCAACTTAAATCCATCATAGTTAAAAATTCAAGAACCCTTAAATCCACCACTCTTAAATCCATCACAAAACATCAACTTAGAATTCCAAATAACAAAAGAAAAGTACTCAATCTTCAAAGATAAAGCTATCCATCTCCATCTCCATTGCATCAACAAGATGAGAAATGTCGAAGTCAATTTCATCAGTAATATCATACTCAAAGTCCTCTGCATCAAAACGTGAAATCACATATTCATAATTATCACCAATTAGAAGATAGTTATTATAAGAATAGACTTTTCTATAGTTGCTATAATAGGCAAACCTTCAACACGAGGACGCTTGTTGGAAGATGATGATGATCCTTGCTCCTCCTCCTCCTCCTCATAAAGAGTCTTTTCGAGCTCTTCATAGTCTATATCTGCAGGTGGATCTTCTTCTACAATCCAAAAATCAATGTTATCTAATTGTTCATAATCAATTGGGTCTTTCGCCCACTCCTTCTTCAAGCACCTACAAGTCAAAGAAGATTAAACAATTAAGTATATGAATATGAAGTGTTAATAATTTTACAATGTTGTATACAATTTAATCATTACCTATTCTTCAACCTCAAATTGTAAGTCACATAAACAAGATCATTCAATCTTTGATGTTCCAATCGATTCCTCCGCTTACTATGAATTTGGTCAAACACACTCCAGTTCCGCTCACATCCAGAAGAAGATGATGTTTGAGACAAAAGTCGAATAGCTAGCTTCCTCAAATGTGGAGCATCTTCTCCAAATAGTGTCTACCATTCAGCTTTTCATTCAGGCAAATTATTATAAATAAGTATATAAACTTCGAAAACATTGTAAGCTTATAACTAAATATGTAACAACTAACAAGTAATTAGAATTGATTACCTGGAGGTAAAGTGGAAGTACACGAGATAGCTTATTTCTTCCCAAAGTTTCCAAGCCTATCTCTAAAAAGTCTAATCTCTTGCATTGCTTCTTCTACATTATCACATAGGCCTTCAGTTTCAAGAAGATCAATAAGACAAGTTTGCAAACCACGCTCCTCTCGAGCTTCCTGAGTATATTGAAAAACCGGGTTCAGATAATAAGCACCTCCATAGATGCTATATCGAAGATGCTTATCCCATCTAGCATCAATTAACTTCAAATATACATCAGCCCCTCTTCCATTGCCCATAAAAGTGTTCTTGATAGTCTTCTTTATCCTCATGATTCCATCATGCACATACCCCAAAGATGGTTGCTTATCAGAATCAACAATCCTCAACAACTTCACGATTGGCAATGTCAACTTCACAATCACTAAACAATCCTGCCAGAAATTGTTATCCAACACAATTGACTTGATGTGCTTCCCCTCTTTCTACTTTCCCAACTTGTGAGATGTAAAGAAGCTACTTGTAACAAGTTGTTCCAACAGTGGCCTATGATCATACACACTTTTCATACATATGAAGCTTGTAGCAAATCGAGTAGCTCCTAGACGCACAATCTGTTTCCAATCCTCTAACTTTTTCAAAAAAGCTAAGATGGGAAGATGACTATAGACAAACACACTGATCTTCTGAGCTTGTGAAACCAAGTTTGACACATGTTTCATCTTGTAAATATCTTTCAACAAAAGATTAAGAACATGTGCAAGACATGGAGACCAAAAAATGCTCTTATACTTCTCATGAATTCTTCTTCCCGCAGCAACATAATTAGGAGCATTATCTGTGACAAAATGCACAATATTCTTTGGCCCAATCATGTCAATCACACCACCAAACAAGTCGGCCAAAGTGCTTGCATCCTTAACCATGTCAGATGCATCCACGGATTTCAGAAAACAGACACCTTTTGGACAATATACTAGAAAATTAATCAATGATCTTTGACTCATATCCGTCCAACCATCAGCCATCAAAGTGCATCCAGTAACTTCCCAACTCTTGCGATAATCATGTATGATCAATGTGCATTCTTCTTTGACATCTCTCAACAAAGGAACTCTAAGCTGATGATAAGAAGGTACCTTATATCCAGGGCCAATAGCAATTGCTGCATCAAATGCCATTTGGTAAAATTCAGAGTGTGCAGCATTGAACGGCAGCTTAGCATGATAAAACCATTTAGCAACTATATGTCTGCATTTTTCTTTGCCTCTTTTCCAGCAAAAGCACTTCGAATTCCAGGTTGAGCTCCTGGTGTTGTTCTTGGAGCAAAGAAACTTGGTTGAGGTTTTGATATTGTTGAGCTTGTGTTGATTTGCTCATCCGACTCATCAACATCTTCACTTTCATTTCGCTTCCTTGACCCAACTTTTGGTCTAGCTGACTCATCAAGCAAAGCCCTAAACCTCACTTGAATATCATGAGTAACTTGTGGGCAAGGACTACCGTCACCTTTTCGTCCAGCCAAATGTTGCTTCACCCTGTTAATCACTCCGCCTTTAATCACATGGCTACACAACAAACATTTATGCCACATTTTTCCGGTTTCTGAGATGATTCGCTCGGCATAATCCCAAGCTGGATCCTTCTTTTGTCGATACCCACTACGGGCAGCATTGCTACCAACTAAATAGCTTGAAGATTCACTAATTCAACTGCAACTCATGAACATGGCCAAGAACAAAAAAAAAACTAACAGACTGATCATGAATTAAAATGTTAGGGGCTTGCAAAAATTGCACAGTAAGAAACATTGGCATTTACCAAATCTGCAACCAATGGACCATATGTCCTCTACAACTGATTAGCAGGTACCTCCTAAGAGAACTTCAGGAGCTGTAGCAACAAAAATGAGAAGAGAAGGATGTCCCTTTTCAGCCTTACCTCTTTTGTGTACTTCTTAACAAGAATAGTGAATGCACGAGCTAGTTGCAACCATAAGCATATACTTTTATCCATCAGCAGACTGTGGACTTAAGAGTTAAAATCCCTACACAGGAGAGCAATCACACGAGAAGGCATTAACAACCATTAGTAAAAGAGCATAATTAGATTAAACAAACATTTCGAGAAAGGGTTTGAAATACCTCTGCATGATTCCAAACCCGTGATAGAATGCAACTTCCCTACACAATTTTTTTTTTATGAAGGTGAAAATTCATTACCAACAAAATATGCCAGAGGTGTACAGGAAAAAGAAACAAAGTTTAACAAGATCAAGAAAGGAATCCATCGGAAACAACAAATGGAAAGGAAATCACAGAAGGCCACGAATAAGACCACCCCGGAAATAACCCAAGAAATTGCTTCCCAAGAACATCAGACGAGGAACAAAGGGCATCTACCCGATGCCACCTCATGACAACATCATCCTTACTCAATCGATACATCAAGCTCTGAACATGGTATGATAGAAAAGTGGAATTAATTACCAAATAGAATTCCTCTACAGAATCCTTGAACTTAAGGTTTCCAAACATCAAAGCGATAGGTGTATAACCTTAGAAGAAAAAGAATCATCATGGAACAAATAAAGGGTTTAATAAAATAAAATAAAAACAGGTGCAAGGAAATCATTGTAGAAGAACAAGAATTCAGAGAATCATAACGCCAATTGCTTAAACCCTTACACCCAAACCTTGTCATTCGTCGTCAATGCAAATATCAACCTCGATCTCGCTCTCCTCGAAACCCCCAAATCATTATCGTTTGTAAAACCTAATTTTTACATGAAAGAAACGTCAATCCTCGGGATCTGATGGAACTAGGGGGAAATGAGGCAAAGTGAGTGGGAAGTGGCTGAAGCCAATATAACCCTAAAATCGAAAATACACTTGTGGATTGGTGATCGAATCAATTTGATCATAGAGTACGTAAGAAAGACGACGAGGAATACCGTCGGGTGTATAAATCAGAAGGACAAGAACTGAGACGAGAGTTATTTGATGGTGGTGAACGGAATAGTAACGGCGAGAAGGAAAGAAACACGGCGAGGAGAAGGCTTGACAAGGAATTCTAGAGAAGTCGGGAACTGATTACTGTGCGGAACTAGGGGCCGAGGGCCGTAGGCATAGGGCGGATAGAACAATGAGGACATGAGGGGAAGGATAAAATAAAATACAAAGGGAATAAATAATAACTAAAGTTCTCATCTTTAAAAATAACAAAGAATGCCTTGTTCATTCTTCCTTTCTCTTCGTTTTAGTGGCAATTTTTTTTGCATGTAATCATATAATACTTTTATCGGCAATTCAATGTGCCTCTAGTATTTTTCCCTTCAACGAGTTTCCGTAAACGACCCCTAAAATAATAACTTACATATAACTTTAAAATAAAAAAAAATGAATTAGAGACAAATGATATAACTTTTAAAGGCAAATAAGTAAATTGTCGCTATATACAAAGTTTTAGGGGCTGATATATAAAGTGTCGCCACTATTAGCCGCTAAAGCTCATTTTTCTTGTAGTGACCACATGAGCAATAAATGAGTTATTGGACATTACAAATACCACATTGACAATTAATCCATCCAAACGACCCCTAAGTATTGCTTTTGTTGCATGTTGACCACCTATTTATTTAGTTGCAACTAAATCATATAACTTCGCACATAGTTGTACCAATATATTTTCTGTTTCCAAACTTAACGGTAGTATCAAAATGTAATTATTCACTGTTATATTTTGAGTTACATGAGGAGCCACTTTTATCCCTCTTTCACCTGGGTGAAAAGTTTTGAATCCAAAAATTCTTTATTTAGAGCCTTACACAAATGTCATTCATCAAATCCGCGATATCAACAAATATATATATTTGATATCGCGAAACAAATACCGACCTGTGATGCCAATAATTTTGTCAAGTTCAACAGCCCCCAGAAGGATACCGGGTTGGATCCGGTGCTTAAGCCTATAGGTTTAAGCAAATGCTTAAACTATTCCTATTGGTTGATAGTGGATTAGGTAGTTAGTGGAAGGTAAGTAGTTAATAGGTAGTTGAGGGTAAATTTGGTATTATGTAAATATAATGATTATAATTAATATTATCAATTAATGTTTCTCTTTCTCTCTCCCGACCTTCTCCATAACCCTCTCTCTCCACTACAATTATAATTAGAATGGAATTTCATAATTAATACAATTAAATATTATTATTTAGTATTTAATAAAACAAGAACATAATATTTGTCCCTTTTTAAAATGGAAATTGAAAATTAAAAAATATCCGCTCTCTCACACTTCGTGGTAACTTGCAATATAGTATTAACATTTTGCAATAACATTATCAACGTTCATGAAATGAATTATTTATTACTATACATTGTAATTATCAACAATTTTAATATACTTATCAATTCATTACAATTACATTATTAACAATTTTGGAAAAATTGTTACCCTTATTTCATTTTTGTCATCAACGCTTATGACTGAATCATTAAAGTTATGTAACATTATCATTAACAGTTTGAATAACAATATCATTAATTTACAACCTCTTTACTTATGATTCACATTTTCACGTCAAGTTTATAACTTTCTCATCATAGCCCTCTTCCAAAGACTTTCAATGACATTGTTAACATTTTGCGATTAATTGATATCTCTTTAAATTATCGTTCTCAATGATCATAAAGCACAATATTGATTTTCAACATCTTCAACACTTGTGACATAGTGCACATGTGACAATGTAAAGAAAAATAGTAGTTCAAGCAAACCAACATTCACACATGTGCACTAAACTTCTAATAACAATACAATAAATCCTTGATAACAAAAAACTATTTCCTTGAAACTAAACCCAAAACATCAATAAAGTCCGACTTAATTTTAATTATCAAATATCATCCAAAGTGTTCATCAAAATGTTGTTTTTCGTTCAAATCTAAAACAAAAACGTTAAAAATGATAGGCTTTAATATAAAAATGACATCAGGGTTTTAATAATGATATTAAAAACCATTAATAACAAATGAGGAAATCACTGATAAGAAAATAAAAGTTCGTTGAAAATAAAAGAAATTATTATTACTATTCAGATGCAATGTTTAATGTCAAATACCGCTAAAAACGTATTAATAAAATAATCGGTCAAGCTATAAAAAAAACTACTAAAAATGTTAATAACTAACATGTGTTTCATGGATAATGCAATTAAAATGGCTATTAATTACCTTCTAAGGTATTAGTAATATCTTAGTTTCAAATATTAATAACTCTTATACACACTCATTAATAATTACACCAACTACGTTACTAAATTAGACTAAAAAGGTTAATAACAATTGTTATATCATTAACAATACCTTACCATCCCCGTTTACTTGCTAGCTATTTCAATCTCTTTCAAAATATTTGGTAATGATAGCAACTAATAATTATTAATTATCTTACTAGATGTTATTAATACCTTCCTTGTAAGACATTGATTACACTTATATACACCTATTAATAATGATACAAACTAGGTTACTAATGTAGACTAAAAGGTTAACAACAATAGTTATATCATTACAATACCTTAGCACCCCCTGTTGCTCACTATTTTAGCCTTTATTAAAGTTTCTTAAATAATTTGGGGTTATTAACAAGATCACTATTAATGAGAACGTGTTGTTTCTCAACGGATAATATCTATAATCACTATACCGACTTCATACCTCTCACAAGAATATTATTAATTAACCAAGAACATGCGCTCCCAGTTATAGGCGCGACATATCATCAGCGCTCGTTTGCCGCCGCTTCTTAGGCTTTAGATTCGTCTTGTCGTGGAGAGGTCACCGTATAGTTCCGGCCTGCAGTCGCTCCATGGGTGCGGAAACTAACTCGTCGTCGTCGGCTTCGGCACTCCGCAACAAGAACTCCATCTAAAGCTCGACACCGACAGTTAGATCTCGTGGTTGCCGACCTGGCAAAACGACCGTCTCGATCGTAGAGCCTATTCCACCTCCAACGTCGGGCGGTAGGAAAGTGGACGGTCCATTTTTTGGAAGTTACAAGTGTCGCCTGGATCTTGATGAGGAGATTGTTGTGCAGCCGCAAGAGGAGATGCACAGTCGGAAGGTTGAAGGGGAGAGGGAAAAATCTTTCCTTGAAACAAGCCGAGGGCGGAGAAAATGTATAAACCCTAACTAAATATATCACGTTAGATTTCAAAATAATTAAAATCTCCTAATGCCCTAAATATCCTTTAACCACCGACTAACAACTAACATCCATAGATTAACTAATTTCCTATAAGCCAATAGGAGAAGTTTAAGCAACTTCTTAAGGTTTTGGGTTTAAGCACCAGAACCCACGCCGATGAACGCACCCCACAGCTTGGATTTTGTCACCTGTCCGGCTTAAAGGCCTAAGTTATGAATCTCAACAGCCCAACTTTGCATCTCCAAGCGACAGCCCATTCACGTTTTGGGCCCACTTAACATCCCTTTGCTCATGTCCAGAGTTGAACAAACGAGCGGAGCCCATTCTAGCTCGGGCCATCTCGACCCAGCAAATACTGATAGCGGCGAGACCTTTATAATCCAACACCACCACCAACTAGGGTTTTTGATTCGCACAGAAGGCTTCTTGCATAATACAAAGAGCTAGCCAGCCGCATCGTCGTCTTTGCTCGGCAGAAGCTCCTTATCTCCTCCAACCATGGCTGTAGGGTGCGTCTCTCCTATCCCCGTGCAGCCTTTTCATTTCCGACCTTTGTCTCCTTCGTTGTTTTGCTGACTTCTGGTCTCTGTGGAACTTTTTTGCAGCAAGAACAAGAGGATTTCCAAGGGGAAGAAGGGAGGCAAGAAGAAGGCGTGAGTATTTCTGTACCTTTGACGATTTTATTTTCTTACTCATGTGTCTGTGGTTGAAGGTATTTTCTGTTTGAATCCTTTCTCACTGGAGTTCATTCTGTCGTTCGATTGCCCTTTTCTCTATCTGGGAACAGAGCGGATCCCTTCTCCAAGAAGGATTGGTATGATATCAAGGCTCCTGCAATGTTCACCCATAAGAATGTCGGGAAGACTCTCGTCTCCCGTACTCAGGGTACCAAGGTACGCCAGTTTGATAGGTTGCTAGCCTTTTGACCATGTGAAGGCGTTATGGTTCTTTGATTGATTTATAGTTTGTTCACTGCAAGGCTGTTCATTGTATGCTCCTTACATATGCAGAAATGGGGTAGTATTAGTGAACTGTAATGCTAGTTTTATTTTTTTTGGCTCTGGGGGCTAGTTGATCAAACGGGATAACTTTGGCTTAGAATTGACTAGTTATGCTTCTTCTGAAATGGGGATAGATAATGTTTGTCTGTCTATCATATGTATCCTTTATCTTTAGTGTTGCTCTCCGTTTGTGGACATGGTATGTGAATTTGCTGTCACTGCTATTCATTTCGTTATCCATCTATGTTTATTTTATTTTTATGCTTATGTAGACTGTGTTGTTGTTGAGAATAGATTGCTTCAGAAGGACTCAAGCACAGAGTGTTCGAGGTTTCCCTTGGTGACCTTCAAAATGATGAAGATCATGCCTTCAGGAAGATCAGGTTGAGGGCTGAGGATGTGCAGGGCAAGAATGTTCTGACTAACTTCTGGGTATGATAAACATCTGCTTTTCTGGTATGATATTATCACCAGCATAAAATTTTCTTGTCGTATTTAATATACGTTCTGATTTTCCGGTGCAGGGAATGGATTTCACCACGGACAAGCTGAGGTCTTTGGTCAGGAAATGGCAAACATTGATTGAATCCCATGTTGATGTGAAGACAACTGACAACTACACTTTGAGGTTGTTCTGCATTGCTTTCACTAAGAGGCGCCCAAATCAGGTCAAGAGGACCTGCTATGCCCAATCTAGCCAGATCAGACAGGTAAGGGTTGCTATGCTGCTTTCTTTGTTCTAACCGAGCCTCAACGTGGAAGAACTTTAACTCTAGTTGATTTGCTTGAGTGAGTAATATATACTTACATGGTTTATCTTTTTTTGCAGATCCGAAGGAAGATGAGGGAAATTATGATTGCTCAGGCAGCATCTTGTGATCTGAAGGAGTTGGTACAGAAGTTCATCCCTGAAGCTATCGGGAAAGAGATTGAGAAGGCAACCTCAGGAATCTATCCTCTGCAGAACGTCTTCATCAGGAAAGTGAAGATCTTGAAGGCACCTAAGTTCGATATCGGCAAATTGATGGAGGCATGTTTCTTCCACCCAATGCTCTCTGAAATTTTCTTATTTATTAGGAGCATCTTTTCCCTGATTCTAAATCTTGGTTCGTTTCTATATTCAGGTCCATGGTGATTACTCTGAAGATGTTGGTGTGAAGGTAGAAAGACCTGCAGTTGACGAAACAATGGCTGAAGCTGCACCACCTGCTGAAGCTGCTGCTGCTTAAGGAGATAGATTGAATGAACCTCCTGTAGGGCTTCCCATTTCCAGTTCTCCCGAGTTGTGTCGGATTAATTTTGTTTTCGAACTATGCTTCTCAGAGTACTTTGTTAGGAAAGATGCTTTTGGACGCAAAGTTTGTGCTTTTGATCAATTTTAAGTGCTTTATATACAGTTTTCTCAGTAATGAAATCTGTTCCGTAATCATTTCTTTATTTTCTTACCCCCTTAATTGTTGCTTTGTTTTGCTGGTGCTACGGCATTCAGTTTCTGCACTCCTGGCCTGGCCTTGGAACTGAATTTGGTCGGCAACGTGCAGTTCATCTTCACTGTGCTGTGTGCGTGTTCCAAAGCATTAACATTTGAGACTTCTGAGCTATGAAAATCACTGCAAACAACGGATTGAGTCTCATAACCATTACTGATGCTTAAAATAGTCAGCCATCAAAGTGAATCTTTGCACTCAACTGCAAAGGGAGATGGGACTGGGATCAAGCTGACTGATTCCATTTATTTATCACTTATGGTCTTCCCTACATAAAATCCAACCTAAACTTACTGTTCTACCACCACAGGAAATAAGCTCCAAAAAAGCTGAGATAAACTACACAGGAGAAAGATATCCTTTGTTCGTTACACACAAGAACAACATGACAAATCCTTCTTCTCCTCCCAAGTTTCAACAGCTACATTACAAATATTACAACAAAAGAAAGGTAGAAACAACAGTCGGTCTCCTTCCTGTCTCATTCCTCTTCAATGGTGGCCGGTCTCCCACAACCACAGAAACAACCCTTCTTCCTTCTCCTGAAACTCCTCCTCCTCCCACCACTGCTGATAAAATCCCTCAACAGAACACCCGTCTTGCTCCCGTAAAACCTCTGCTGCACATTACCCTTCTTCTTCTTCGTCTCCCCGCTCTTCTCATCTAGCTTCAGCAGAATGTACTGAATGTTCTGCACCTCGAACTCCAACCTCCCAATCTTCTCCGACCCTTTTCTTGCCTGCTCCGTCACCCCGTTGCTCTCCGCTTTAACCATTATCTCTTCCGGAGACGATGTGCCGCTGCGGACACCTTTCCTCAGCTGATCGTTAGCCTCTGCTAACTGCACAATAGCTACTTCCACTTCCTGCAGCCGAGTCCTCAGCTTCTCGAGCTCCACGTCATTTCCCTTTGTAGTCTCCACCTTGTTTTTCATGTCTTGCACGGATGTGTAGAGCGACGTCAGTTTCTTGCCGTCGGAGTTAAGCCTCTCCATGATCTTGCCTCCATTGGGTGATCTCTTCTTCTCTTTAGTTGGTACAACCTCCAGCTTTATATCATCAATTCCTAATTCCTTCTCAGAAGAAGGAATTGAGGGTGTTTTGTGCTGCTTCGAAACTCTGGATGATGGATTTCGACTCAACAGCCGTAGTGGGGGAGCTGGGCCTGCGTTATCCTTCTCTGCGGATTCCCAGAGCTCGAGCATTTGATCGTCGGCTCTCGAGACTCTCCTGCTCCTCCTGCGCGAGGAAGAAGAACTAACGAGTTGAATGTCTTTCATCAAGACACCGCCATTGCTGCTGCTGATGTTGTTCTTTATTTCAGGTGATGGTGGTGCTATCTCGGATGGTTGGTCGTGGTGGTGCTTGTTCTGCAAGTTGTTGTTATGAGCACTGTCGTTTGAATCGAAACTATGGAAGCTGTCTCCCCTGCTTCTTGATGATCTCCTCCTTAGCTTCTTCACTTTCTCATGGGTTTCAAGCTTCTCCTTCTCTGCTGTGGCCTTCTCGGCTTCTAGCCTGCTCATCTCTTCAAGCATGGCTTTCTCCACTGTTTTAACTCTTGGTAGCATCTTCAGCAAATCGGAGATCCCATCTCTTGCCTCACTTGAATGATCATCAGAAGCTATATCATTGTCCTGATCAAAAAACAAGGAGACATGTCAACAAACCAATGAGCCTTCAAATGTAGTATTACTGAAAGGAAAAGTGAATGATGATCATTGATACCTTGTGGGTTTGGTCACAAACTGAAGAAGAGGGAAGCTTTGACAGAAGTAGAGCATTCTGCTCGAGGGATTCAATGTTATCTTTCAATGAAGCTATTGCTGGAGCATATGCAGATAACTGAGACTTCAGCCCCACCATTTCAGTTTCCAAAGAAAAGAACTTTTCCTTCATCTGTCCAATCTCAGCATCTTTTGTGGCATTGTCATCTTCAAGGGTTGAACAAACTGCAGAGAGTTCATGAACCTTCTTCTCGAGAAGAACCTCGTGAACGGATGATATCTGTAGGTCGAAGAAGAACGATGAAGCCTCGGCCTCCCAGAGTTCGGACTCATTGCTTCTCTCCTGTAACTCCAGGCTCAAGGTCTCCTCTCTAACCCTGTGTTCCTCAATCTCTTTCTGCAATGTGCTCGCTTCTGACTGCAGATTTTGATTTGCTGCATGAAGCTGTTGGATTTCTCGTTTCTGGTTTGCATTGTCTTTGGACAACTCAGCAATCTGGTTTTCTAACTTTTCCTTGTCTGCAACGGATTCCTTAGATTCCCTCTCCAGCTCCTCAATTGTTCTGCATAGTTCACCATTGGCCTCCTGCGTAGCTTTCAGCTTCTGCTCTACTTCTAAAAGCTCTGATGCTTTCATTCCCAAAAAGTCCTTGGCAATCAGAATTTCACAGTTCAACTGATCATTCAAGTCCTGGCCTTCCTGCAACTCACACTGCAGCTTCTTGATTGTTTCGTTGAGATACAAACACTCTGATTGTTTTGCTCCAAGCATCTTCTCCAAGTCCTCTATCTTCTTGTTGAGTTTACTGTTAACAGAGCTGAGATGATCAAGTTCTCCAGAAACTGCTTCAAGCTCCTCAGCTTTCTGCATTCCAAAGCTCTCATAAACAGATGAGCGAGTTGCCAAACATACTGCTTCCTGAATGATGTTGCTGTTTTCTTCATCAACTTTCTTCATTTCCCTTTTCAGATCTAAGAATCTCATCCGTAAAGATTCCTTTTCTTCAATCATGTTAAAGTTTTCTGCTTTGAGTGAGATGTAAGAACCTTGCAAGCTTTCCAGGTTCAAATGCTGAGTTTCCAACGAAGCTTTTAGTTCTCCCTTCTGTTCCTCACCTTTCCTCAGTTCTATTTCCAATTGCTTGCTCATCTCCTGAAGTTCGTGATTTTCCATTTCAACCACGGTGAACTTTTCTGTCATTGCATTGTACTCCGTCTCCAGAACTTTTTTCTGTGACTCAAGGTCAGCACCTTCCGATCTCAATTGATCAAACAAAGTTGAGAGCACCATGTTCTCAACGGCCATTAATTGCTTCTCATCTTCCTCTCTCTGGAGCAAGCTCTTCATGTCCTCAATATTGTCTAGCATACGCCCAAAAGAAACTTTTCCTTCATCAATTCCTTGTTCATGATCATGGATTGGATCAAACTGAAGTGACTGAAAAACTTGATGAACTCCCATTCTATACTTCTCGATCTCATCCAACAAGAACTCCACTTCCACCTGCTGCTCCAGATTCTCAGCCTCCAGCTCTGATATCACACTGTTTGATAGTTTTGAAGCCTCAGCATGTTTCTGACATTCAATCAACAGTGTGAAATTCTTCTGTTCCAAATCTTCGATGAACTTCTGTAAGATGAAGATCTCAACCTGTGCATTTACAGCTTTATCCAGTTCCTCTTCAAATTCTTTCTTCCTCAGCTGACTTTCTTCTTGCAATGCATGCACCTGGTTTTGTAGATCAGCCAACCGAGATTCACTAGACTGTATGTAGCATGCACGCTCCTGTTTCTCTATTCCAAGGTATCCATACAGTTCTTTGACCTGGAAGAGTGTGAATTCTTTCTCCTTTTCCAGATCAGTGTACTTCTCTTCCAGTCTTGTGAACCTCCTTTCAAGGTTTCCAAGTCTTTGTTCAACAGCTTCCAGCTGAGAGACCAATGTGCTTTTTTCAGTCAAAAGGTTGGATTTGTCGTTCTTGAGCATTTCACACAATTCTTCTAAGCTTCTGCTCCTTGTCTTGAGACCCTCAAGCTCGATATTGGCACCAGAGAGAGAATTCTCAACCAGGGTATTTTTCTCAATGAGCTTCTGCATGTGCTCATTCATGAGCTGTAGCTGGGAGAGCAAAATTCCCTTTTCAGCTACAAGCCCCGTTTTTTCTCCCTGAAGGAGCTGGCAAGATTCCCGCAACTCCTTCACGTTTTCTCTTGACCCTTCAAGTTTTTCATTCATTTCTGAAAGACATCTATCCATGGCAACATTCTTCTCAAGGAGCTGATTTGTAGCCTTCAACTTCTCATGCAGAACTTCCTTCTCACGTTCATCCTTTTCACAAACTTCTCTTAGCCTGGAGTTTTCATCTTGCAAGTGTTTAACAGATGAGCCAAGACAAGCAGGATTCAGACCTACAGACCACATCTGCTCCATTAAACCCTGATACCTACTATTCAAGCCATCAATCTCGTGCCTCAAACGAGAAATCTCCTGTTGCATGGAATCAGTTTGGCTTACTTGCTCTGCAAGTTTCACTTCAAGTTTCACCTTCATTTCCTTCAAGCAAGAAATTTCGTTGTACAAGTTCGTTATGGAAATGCTGGAAGAACTGTTTAACTCATTGAGGCTCTGATTCTCATCCTTGACTCGATGCAGATCATCTTGCAATTCCTGGTTGCTCAACTCCAACTCTTTCAACATTTGAAGCTTGTTTTCCAGCTCTACTGCCAAGGCTTTCTGCTCCTCTTGCGACTGCAAGTGCAGCTTTTGCAAAGTTTGCAAGCTGGCTTCAACTTGGGCAAACTGTGATTTCTCCTCTTCCAGTAAAGTATGAAGCGTGTCCAGTTCTATTTCCTTGTTCGAGAGTTCTTGATCCTTTGTTGCTATCCTTTGGACCAAAGTTTCAGCCTCTAACCGCAGAGACCGATTCGACCTCTCCAACAAAAAACAATGTTCTTCTGCACCTTTAAGTTTTGCTGCACCCATCTCAACTTCACTGATCAGTTGCTTGACATCCTCTTGAGCTCGAGATATTTCATTCTCCATCATCGCTATTTTCTCAAGGCATTGTTCGTACCTTAGTTCAGCAGCTTCTTTTTCGCACTTTAATTCATCAATAGCTTGCCTCATTGAATTAACTTCAGTTTCAGCTTTCTCAGTTTGCTCATTAAGCATCCTGGCATTTTCCTCAGCAAATGCAATTCTTTTCTCCAGAATAGATATCAATTCAATACATTGGTTGTACTGAAGAAGACGAGCTTCCTTCTCGGACTCCAATCCTGAAAGCTCTCGTTTGAGTCTCTGTGCTTCTGTTTCAGCTTTCATTGCCCGGTCATTGAGCCCCTTAGCATGCTCCTGATTCTGAGATATCATATTCTCCATGCTTGATATGTTTCCCAAGCATTGGTTGTACTGAAGCAGCCCAGCATCTCTCTCGGCTTCTAACTTGGCAAGTGTTTCCTTCAGGATCTTAATCTCGATCTCAGCTCTGCTTGCTCTTTCATCAAGCCCACCGGCATCCATAAGTTCCTTCTCCATGCAAGACAGCTTCTCCAAGCTTTGTTGGTACTGAAGAAGAACAGCTTCCTTCTCGGCTTGAATCTCACCAAGAGTCTTCTTTAAGGTCTCAACGTCTAGTTCCGATTCGGTTTGCTTCGGTAACTTTGAACCCCTCTTCATCTTTCCTCCAGCAACTTTTGAATCAGCCCCAAACATCATGTTGAGCTGTTTGAGACCTCCATTATCTGTAATGGCTGAAGAGAGTTCCCATTCATCTGGGCTTAGCGAAGCCTGAATTGGATGGGGCATTTCTGATGTGTGAGGTTCACCCTCCTGCCTAGAAGGTGAATCATCAGTCAATCCATGAGGCACCTGATCGGGGAATGCTTCAGCCATGGTTCGATGAGCATGGCGAAGTTCCACCGTTGCATGATCATATCTCTCTGCTAATGCTCGGTAAGCTCTATAGAACTCCTCCACCAACTTCATCAGCTCTGGACGTTTTTTGTAGTACATTTCAGCCCTCCTAGCAAATGAATCTGCATCTTCCTCTATCAGTTTGATCATCGTTTTCACTTTTGCATCCATATCTGTTATACACCAGAGTTAAACTTTGTCAATATCGGTGTCATTCGTTTCAGCAATCACATTAAAGGAGATAATAATATGTATCATGATCCATGAGGCAAAATCTAAAGAAACTGCCTAGTGTACACAAGATGAAGGGTACATGATTATTTGCTCACTGAAGTTTGGTTTCCTACTTTTGCAAAAGCATATTATAATGAATCACTTTTGCTTCCAACAAAAAGAGGCCCACAAGACTGCAGTGTGGAGCAAAGTATGAACTACGTAGTGGTAACTACTTAAAAATAGAGTAAGTCACAAGGGATCTAAAGGAAATGAGTAAAGCAAGCACCTGTGAGATTGTCCTGAAGCCATTTGGAATTCTTGGGGATGTGACTGTCCCACCACCAAGAATAGAGCCTCCTGGACTCAGAATGCATTAGGGTAGCCATGAGTCCACCCACCAACAAAAGGGCAAGTGGCTTGGACCTTGCAATAGACTGGTTTTTGTACCAGAAGTACAGACTGCAATAGTGGATCCAGGCCAGAGTAACAACTGTAGATCTGTTAAACCACTCCCCCTATATAATTAGGCTTTTGCGAATTCCTGTTTCTCGGTCTTTTTCCTGTACCTGTACACAGAAATAATCATCTGAGTTGGAGCAAAAACAACATAGAATCACAATTTCATATGTTTCCGGAGTCTCAAATTCTTGATATTATACCTTCTGAAGTAAAGGTGGAGCAAGTCTGTAGCAAAATGGAACTCTCCCAAAAAAGCAGATAAATGAGCTGAACTGAAGTTGGACCTTCAAGTTAGTAACACTGTGAAGAGAAACCAGGGAAGAACAATAGGTATCAGTAATCATAGATCAGAAGAAGAATGTGCAGCAGGTGAGAAAGAGAGATTAAACAGAAAGAACAGGTCATAGGGAAATTTCAGATGGAACCACCTCCTGGGGAAAACACCAGGCGTTCAAACTAGCCTAAGTCCTCAGGGATCAAATCAAAGGAACAACTTGTGAAACAGAATCCACATTTCTAGGGCTCAAAGAGAACACATACAAAAAACATGAACAACAATTAAGAAAACAGAACCAGACACGACAAGGCAAGGCAAAGGAAGAACAATAACATGGAAATACCCCCAAAATGAAAAGAAAAAAAAAATGTGGCCTGTTTGCCGCCGCCGCCATTGACCCACAAAACAACATGAGGTTCGAGCAAATGGGTAGGAAGAAAAACTGCGAAAGATGGAAACTTTAAGGCCATTTCAGATCAAGAACTTACCCAAAAAGAGGAGGGGGAAAAAAAACCAGAAGTCGATTAAGAGCAGCAGTTTCAGACACTTGAGAGATAGATCTCCTCCAGCTGCATAACCTTCCGAGTCACCCCATGTTCTAGCTTGACTCAGTACCAAAGACCAATGGAGACTTCCATTCTCTCTCTACAATGTAGAGCTCCATCCCTCTCCCTCCCACATTATAGTCTAGTCTACAATTGGTACAGAGATGGACAGAGTCTGTCCGTATGAACTGTAAAAAGTTGGATGAGATGACGAGAGAGAGTATTAAAAAACGGAAGGAGAGAGAGAACTTTGGTGCCTTTTTCGTATTTTTGGTAGAGGGTTAGAAAAATTATTGGGAGTTTTTTATTTGGAAGATAGGAACGTGACACCATGTATACACTATACAGCAATGGCGTGCATTTGTATAATGTTTTTTTCACTGAAATTTTATATAAGTAAACCAAATCCCTCGTAATTAATGAATGTTTTTTCCTGTTGTAGTTATCATTTGGTTTTTTGGGGAACGGTCAATTTCTTCAGCTTTTCCCTGTCTTTTTATCCTAATCTTTTTCACTGAAATTTCCTGTAACACCACCACTCGAAATTACATTACTTGCAAAATTTTAGGATTTTTTTATGAATTTATTATAATCATAAACTTAACACTGATTTTTTTCATGAAAAGAATTTATAATTAAAAATGCAAAAATATTGTTCAATAATGGAAAATTTCTAGTTAAATAAAGACAATTATAAACTAAGAAAAATATTATCCCAAAATCAATCTTTTCAGTTACACAAAAGACTCTTGTCTTATCAAAAGAGCTCCCTCATATACCTTTACATTTTGAATTATCTGAAACTAAAGAGAACCACACATGTATGATACAACGAGGTAAATCTTTTACAAGCAATGAGCCTATCACTTAAGATTGAACATCAACTAGGTAAATTTTTTAAGTTTGTGATCTATAGATCAGCTAATCTATAGAGAATTAGTAATGATAAAGGACATAATTGTGTGATTTGCTTATGGTCTCAAATTTGTTCTTTCTTTGGTTCCTATTCCTCCTTAAGATATTTCATTTCCTTTATTCCTAATTTCCTATTTCTAAAAAAGAACATTTCTTTGGCTGAATTCACTGTATTCTCTTAACTTTACCATTTCCTTCTTTTCAAATAATTATCTTTACCATTAATAGTTCAACATTTATGCAGCAGAATTAAATAATGATTTGATAGCATGTATTTTTTTCCAGTTTCCTCATTCTTTTAATCTCTTACATAATTTCAAATTTCCGATAATTAAGACTGATCAACGGTAAATTACAAGCCTTCAAAATGGAACGTTAATTTTTTTAGAAAAAGGAATCGTTACTATTTTATAATTACATCATTTCATTGACTAAAGAGTTAAACTCTTGACTTCTTATTACAATTTTTAAAAAATGTTGTTGACTTATTGTAGCCGGTGCATGAAAAATTAGAGTACATTATCCCGAAAAAATGGTTTATCTTTGACTTCGCATGTTTTAAAAGGTGGCATAACTAATTTTGGTTCTCTAAGTTAAATATATGGTATTATGAAGGATTGGAAAATCTTATCGAAAATGGTATCGGATAAGTTAAAGATAATATTGTAAACCCATAATCGTTCATACTCATAAAATTCAATACCAATTTGATCTCTAACCGTCGATTTTTTTATTTAATATGCTAATACGATGTGATTTAGCAAACACGATTACCAATCACGAAATAATAATGATACATGGGTGTAGATTTTGTAAGTCCAATATTTTATTTTATTTTTATTCTTTTCCCTTCTTCCTAAGTTTCCTTTCTCACAATTTTTTTATTGCACATTGGTATATCGGAGAATATTTTTTTTTTCTTGGAACATCCTTTCAACTAACTAGAACCTTAGTTGGCTCCCCATTTGCAATATTTTATATTCTCCAAAGTTTAATATTTGACTAATAATTTTGTATTTTGAAAGATTTTACTAATAATTTAATAAGAAGTTTGAAATGTTTGATTAGTAAATTGTATTAAAAAAAGCAAAACGTCACTGTGGTGGTGACTTTGGTGGGGTGAATATACAATTCACGGACCAAATGTATGAAAAATAATGACTCTGTGAACAAATCCCATTTTACAACATGGAATGGTCTTCTCTTTATATTCGAACAAATCCCATTCAGAAAAAGGAAATGGTCTTGTTTTCACTGCCTCACAAAGTTCTTAAACCTGTTGAAGTCGTCTACTTAAGCCGAGATAAGGGCGATTTCCTCTAGGGGAGTGGGTGAGAATGGTAACAGGAAAAGGTATTTAGTTGCTTATTAAAGCATGTTGCCAAATGTCAAGGCCTGAAGTAAACCTTATTTGTGCATGTTATATATAAATAATTTTTTTAGAAATAGGTAATGTAAGAAAGTAATGAATACATAAATTTACGTGATACATTAATATAATGTGCGCTAACTAATCCACAGACAGGAAAGACTAACTTGAAGAGATACACATTACATATAGATTAGAAGATATATACAGTCCTTTCTCCAGATGGGCTAACTCTAATCCAGTTTGAAAATGAAACACCATGCCCAAAATAGAAGTGAGATTCCTGTGACATTCAATTAACTACAAATAATATAATTTCAAGTTATAGCCGCAATGTCATTTCGAATTTCCACGTTTTGACTGAGAGTAGGGATGACATTGGGTCGGGTTTTGCCAAACTCAAACCCAAATCCATGGGTTTATCCGTGAAAAAAACCCGGGGTAAAACCCACTGGGTTTGAAAAACTCAAATCCAACCCAACCCGCTGGGTATCCGTGGGTTCATGGGTACCCACAGGTTTTTGTCGTAAAAAATTTACAATAACAAGTTCCTATCAAAATTAAAGTTAAATATCAATCTCTCAATACATATTATCCATATATAAAACACCATTCTAGAAAATTCAAGCAAATCACAAATTAACTATACAAATTGTTCAACACCAATCTAGAAAACTCAATAAAATTAAAGCAAATCACAAATTATCCATAAATAACATGATTAATTGAAAGTTTCTTGCTTTTAATTAAGTTTATTCACTCTCCACTCGATGACATCAACTTCATTCTACACAATTAGAAAGAAAAAAATTAGACATGTCTCCACAAACATAAATAAGATTAGTTGTTTAGAATATTAAATATACCGAGAAAATTAACTATATGAGTGTGGGCGGGTACCCATGGGTCGGGTTTACCTAAACTCAATCCCAACCCGGTGAATAATGAACAGGTTTAAACCCAAACCCGGCCCAAAACCCGTCAACACGGATTTTACCCGCGTTGACTGGGTTGGGTCGGGTGGGTACCCATGGGTTTGGGATTTGTTGCCATCCCTAACTGAGAGGGGATCGATATGAGTTATCTAGATATGGATAACAAATATATATGTTGTTTGCCTATCTGTCTATGCAGAGACTTTATGTAAGTTATGTATAAATAAGTACTTGTATTTTACTTTGTTTCTAAACTAATGGTACGTTAAGTAGTACGCCAGTAGTTACAAAATATATAAAAATGATTATTTTAAAAATACATTAATATATAAATAATAGTTAAGTTATCAATTTAATTCATCAAATACGGATATTAAACGTGTTATACGGGTTTTATACATATTTAGAATGAGAGCCATTAAATAAAAGGGAAAAATTGAAACGACTTGACACTCATACGAATACGAAAATTTTAAACGGATAAAATACGTGTGGTCATATATACATATATTAAACAAAGTATTTGCTATCTTTTCTATCCAATTTGTTACTAGTATAGGACAAGCATTTTGTTTAAATGAGAAGCATATGACCAGCATAACTATTATGTGATGTATCTACGGCACTTTGCAAGGCTACTAGGGTTACAAGAATTAAGGTGGATTTTTCGTTTAGTTTTGGCAAATTTTACCATCCCAAACACATCTTCACCCACTAGTTAGTTATATTTGATTGGTTGGCTACCAAGGACTCACTACATGGCTACATGTAACTACACGAATATTAACATATAACAAGAAAGAAATAATGTTTAATTGATCATGCACTTAACCAAATATAGATGCTTAAATAACTAACTATTTTTTAAGTACATATTAAAATTAATACCTAACCGTAGGCTGTATTTTCATCAAAATAAATAAATCCGGTCGGTATTCCAATATAGGTAAACTTGGAACTAGCTACACCATTTTGGTATGGAAATATTTGTGAATCCTCACATGGCCCCATGAGAAGATGACAAAATTGGCAAGCTAATTAGCACGAAACTTAGTCCAAAATTCTTGACCACAGTTGATGGATCTATGGCACTTGCAAATAATTCAACACACAAAATGCCATAAATCAAATTAAAAACAAGACACTTTTTTGCGTTGTCCTCGTCAAAATTACATCACTCATGATTTTGTTTGGAGATTAAGGTTCTTAATTTAGGTTGTTTTTAATTTTTATTAGTCGCTCTATGGTGTGCCCACTTAATTCGTATTGGTTGAGGCATAACTTTCATGACTCATCAGCATGATATCTGACCAAAATGGAGCCATATGAAAATGGATTCCTCATAACAAAAAGGGGAATTAAGTAATTTATTTCTATTTCCTCCCGTTGGTAGATATTGTGATTCAAATCAGGAAAATCGATTCAATTGTAGTTTTTATTTTTCACACATAGAGTAAATCGTAAGTAAAAAAAAAATTGACTACAAAAGAAACAATAATTAAAATGCTCTGATACGGTACACATAAGCTTGCTAATTCGACATCATTAAACATAATTTGACCGAGGTTGGATTCGAACGTCTTGATTATGTTCCCCACTTCCCCTTGCTACTTATTCCTCTGGTAAGGTTGTAACTCCCCCTCGCTTGGCCTCGTCATACCGTTTGAACTCTTTGTGGTGGTAAAAAGAGCTAACCACACATTTTCTTGTATGTGAAAAATAATCTAGAGTTGATGTTTTGATTATTAATTTTCGACCTATCAAATTAAGGTGTCGCTTGAACTTTCGATTCAGAATGTCGGTTTATGAGAATACATGTATTATGTGGCATACAACATTTGATTCCAAATTTGTGTCCAAGATAATATATAGAAAAATAATGCATTATGAATCTAATTTTTTTATACCAATGAGTGTCCATATATTTAATTGTATAAAGTTGAATATTTATTTGTAATTTTACATATATTTTAGAATTGAGGGGAATTATAACCCCTCTTAAGTCTTAACTTTAACATGCCTCTTATAAAGTAAATATTCTTAATATTTACATAATTTTAAATGCATATAATATTAGGATACATCACTTATAGAATGAAAGGTGACCAATAACCCCTAAGCATCCACGAACTACCAAAAATAGTAATGATATCCTCCAACAAATTGACCAAAAGAAAAGGGCAGCATAATTGGTAGCAAAGAAAGTAGGCACGCAGCATTTATCATTAAAAATAAATAATAATAAGTGGGCTCTCGAGAGGCCTCCAAATAAATTGTGACAATTTTTGTCAAACAAATTTCTGATAAAATGGGCCACAGAAATTCCTATTCCTCTAACACCTTTTAAGTTTGTCAACGAAACAGGCGGCAAGAAAATCATATGTTCAACAGCCAATTTTTTTTCCAAGCAACGTATTTTCCAAAGAATGTGATAGTTATATCGAAAAGTCAATAGTAGAGTATTTTTATTTAAATATTATAATTTCATTGTGATTCAGTTACTTCGTACTTTTTTTTTAAAGTATTTACTTATTTATGTGAGTATAGGCAACGAGAAAATTAGATACCATTGGGTGTTGGTGATAAATGATAATGAACATCTCTTGATCACAAAAGATAAAAGGACAGGTGGCAAGAATAACTATGAAGACACCGACTAATACTGTGGTCTATGGGCTGGATTCCATCTTTTGCACATTTTCTAGATGTCGAATATAATTCTTCCATAACAGGGAAATAAAGTCATCTGAAGATTGTGATGTCCCAACAGAAGGAAGATAAGTAGTTGTGTTCCATAAATTCATCTGGTCTTTGATTATTGCTTCCCAACGGATCATATATTGCTAGACTAATCAAGAAAGCTCTTTTCTAGTTTTCTTACATCTTTAAGAACCGGGTGTATTCTCAACTTGATAAATGACTATAATCGGAAGGGTTTAAAAGAATCGTTCTAAGTGGGTATGATTTTGTGTATTTGAAATATGGTTTTAAAAATTACGCAAACGCATTAGGCAAAAGCAGTGGCGTAGCCAGGATTTCGTCTAAGGTGGGTTCATTTTTAAAAAAAATACACAAGATAAAATAGTTTTTGTTAACTTTGCTAATCATTCATGATATAATCATATATTGGAAAATTATGATAAATTAAAATACATCAGCAGTCGAAAATATCAAGAATATCAATATATGTACCAAACAATTATTAATGATTTAGTTAGTCATTTTGTTTCGAAAAGTGTTCTTTGTCAATAATTTATGGTATAGTTAGTCATTAGCTTTCAAATGTTCTTTGTTAAGAAACGTTTAATATATTTTATATCATTTACTAGCATGCTCCCTCATAAGAAAGTCAGCTTACATGAAATTGAAGATTTGAAGTTTGCACAAATCTAAATAAAGTGTGCTTAAGAAATGAGGCCGTCAAAATTCAAACATAAAAATATTTTGATCAACTATTCTCAGTAAAACACACACTAATTTTCGGTATCAACGATTGTACCTAATTTAACCATTTTTCTTCCAAACCAGGGTGGGTCCCAGGACCCACCATGTTACACTCTCCCTCCGCCACTGGGCAAAACGGAAACGCCTCGGCTAGATCATAAGCAGTTATGAGGCGTACTGGGCAGTGGCAGATATATGATGCTTTAGGGGTGTCCCGGGACACCCCTAAATTTTGGGAACACGATTATCCAACTCTCGGTAGTAGTTCGTATGGATAAAAAAAATATAATTGGTAATTTGGGACGCCCCTAAAATTTTAATAAACGATTATCTTACCCTCGATAGTAGTTTGCGTATGATTAAAAAAAATATAAGTGGTACTCTGTGTTATTTACATCTATGACACTCCTATTATTAAACATCTTCTCCGTTAGGTTATAACTCATTTGTTGTTCTATTTTAAACACTATGTAATGGTAAAAGCGTGATTTCTTATCCCTAGGGGTACCCTTAATTTGAATTGATTTTATGGTTACACCATAAGTGTTGAAATAGTCTTTTCAACTTTGAATTACATCATGAATAATGTTAGAAATTGAATATACGATCTAGTAGGATATACCGATTTGTTGAGCAGTGTAGACACCAAATCTATCTTATATTTTTTTCGAAATATGAAAAGTACATCGTGGCTTTTTGTCAACATTTGTACTAATTGGATATTTTTATTATTTATGTATTATTTAATTTAATTTAATTATTTATTTAATTATTAATTTAATTTAATTTTTTAGAAGAGGACACCCCTAAAAAAAATTCTGGATCCGCCACTGGTACTGGGTGGTGAGGAAGTGACGAGGATGTGAAGTTCCGAGCGAGTCGGGATACTATTTGAGAACTCTCACACAATGCTAAAGGCGACATCACGGCGTCTCTCTTTTCCCTCTCGATTTGCTGCTAGGTTAAAGAGAAATCGAGACTCTCCTCCTTTACCTTCTTCACTCTTCAACATTGCTAGGTTAGATACACCCTCTTCAAAGCAACTTCTTCCTTCTGTTATGCTTCTTATCTCTTAATCTGCTTCGCCATTTAATATTATTGATGAGGATTTATAAATGAAAGACCGAGATTATGATGTGATTCATAAACTTGTACATCTAAACAATTGGGAGATATTTTACTACTTTTGCTTCCGGTGTTTGGATGCGCTTCCATTTGCAAACAAATGTGCCAAAAGGTAGAAAAGGTTTGTGGATTTCAATTTCATAGAGTGCACATCCTCTCAAAGACACCCAACAACAACAAAGGTAAAGAAGAATTCAATGAAGGTTTGCAAGGGAGGCAAGACCACTAGATGAAGGATCTAAGGACATGGATGTTTTCCAAAAATTTATTTACTTATCAGTCATGTGTATATCTTACTTTTATTTCGTGTTTATAATATTGTATCCTATCATCTGTTTGAGCATATTAAATCACAAATTTTTATGGTCCACCTTGAATCATTAGCCTCATCAATTTGACATACCGTACAACTTCACTAACATAAGTTTTGTATATGTATAAGAGATTAGCATTCTCAGTTAGTGGATGGAGTTAGTGTACTTACCAGTAGCCAGATTATGGGCTAGTCACATGTTTTATGCATATGCCATTAATTGGGTTCGGTGTATCAAAATTCTCTCTAAAATATTGGAAGCAAAAGTGAACTGGACGAATTTTTAAAACTCTTTCAACTATCCAACTGAGTCTTTCTCTTTTCTTGCTAAACGTTCTAGTGATATCATAGTGTTTCTATAATCTATACAAATAAATATTTAACCTTAAAAGAAGTTGTAAAGGTAGACAAAGTTCTTATAAGGCACAAACTTGTGAATTATTGGGCACACTTCCTAGCAAAGTGGCCATATGTCCCAGATTTGTT